CAAAACACATTGGAATTTAAGGGATCATGAGATACATTGTGAAGATGAGTTGAACCAGAAGAGATTAAGACAAAAATAAGAGGATGCAACAAGCCTAATTTGCACATAAAATTGAGAGTATTAGATAACTGAGTACTTCTGCCTGATGTCTCTGGTTCCCTAGAAATAGTTAGAAACAGAGCTTTTCCTTGTGTGCATTTCCTCACTGGCTGGGTAAACCCTTTTTTCTTGTGTGTCCTGACTTTCAAATTTCCAGCCTAGGAATGTAATAGTTTATTAATTGATTAGTCTTACAACCAGATAAATAAATAAATAAAATACATGATCTGATTCCAGGATAAAATAGATAAAAGAAAATACACTGATAAAATGCATATATGGTAATGCAAAGAGTCAGCAATCAGATAAATGCATCAGCCTTACAAGATACCCCAGTTTATTCCATGTATCGAGTTCTTAGCATAATTCCCACAGCATTGTCTTATGCCTAAGGATGTCTAAGCTTGTAATAGGACTGTATTACTATTATCCTTCTCACCTGTCTAATTACCTACTCCTATTGGTATCTTATGACTATCACTTTGTTGGTTGTATCTTATGATTTATCATTGTATATGATTTATCACTTTGTTACTTGTATGTATACTGAGAGCTTTTGTACCGGAGACACATTCCTTGTGAGTCCAATCACACTTGGCCAATAAAAAGTATTCTCTTTTTTTCTACTTTCTATTCTATTCTATTCTATTCTATTCTATTCTATTCTATTCTATTCTATTCTATCCTAGCCTATCCTAGCCTATCCTAGCCTATCCTATCCCAGAAGAAAATAAGACAATATTATATTAGTAGCATAATAGTACTTCCCCCTTCTTTTAACACCATCCAAGAACAGCCTCAACATTTTTGCCATCTACTGCCTTGAGTACAGTTCTCAAACTTTACAGGACTCAACTCCCTAAAAGGATGAAACTAAGGATTTCACTGGGGATAGGGCTGGGTGTGAAATAAAGCTACCATTTACTTTGAATGATTAAAGTTTAGTCTGGCTATCGCCAGGGGTCTCAAATATTGTGAAACTGTAATTTCTTGCATAGGCAAAATGGGAAATGAAGCCCAGGGTACTGTTTCTGCTTTGTCTGTGCAAACCTGATCAGGCTTTCTAATTATTTATTGAGTGTGACTTTCCCTCAGTTGTTGCATCCAGACCCATAGTTTTAGAATCTCTGACTTACAGGCTGGCTGCCAGAAATAAGAACTGCTAGAGACAGGGTGTAAATCAGTAGTATAGTTTTCTGCCAACTCACGATGGGTGGAGAAAGAGCATTTTCCTTCTCTAAAATGCCCCAAAGATAAAAACAAATTGGCTGCAGTTCAGTTCTTGACATTCAGTAATTCAGTTCGGCATGCTAAGCCATAATCTAAATTTTCTTAGCATTATGTCTATTGAACTCAGCTGTTTGGTTTGAAAACTAGTAGGTGGCACGTAAACCCTAACCATAAATCTAATAAGATAAACAGATTGGACAGGAGATATTCAGTGACTTAAACATAAGACTCTGGGCCATGCACAAGAAGACAAAAAACAAAAACAGATTTACGCCCAATCTTATTAAAGCCTAGTAGTTCCCCCTCCCATTAAAATTCAGTGGTCCTAGTGACATCAGAGGATTGCCCACAATTACACAATGAGCCAAAGGTTTACTGAAGAAAAAATGATTTTCAGAGTCATTCAGAACACGGTTGAACCTACGGATGCCTCTGGAGCAGCATTGGTGGGAACTACTACAAAAAAAGCCCTGACTTCAAGCCCAGATGCCTTTCACTTCACACGGGATGAAATGGTTAGCAGAGCCTCTTTGTGGTCCAGAACTAGACTGGCAGAATCAGGCTTAACAAGATTCTATATAAGATGGCTTAATGATAGGATTCAGGTTAAAGTGTAGAATCTTAGAAACTGTGATAAAACAACTTTAGTCCCTCATTTATTATTTAGTTCATAAGAATCTCCTCAAACCACATTGGTCTCTTTTTCCCAGGTTTTGCCTGCCTGCACTGAGTAGAATTTAATGAGATAAGCTGCTTACAAACCCTTATTTTATGTCTTGCTGGTTTATGCAATCATTCCTCCTGCTCTTTTTCCAGCCTTCCCCCAATCCACCACATTCTCCTACAGTATATGGAAGTTTGGAGGCAAGACAAAAGTTGTCAACCACACCTGGATTGATTGTTATTTTTTTTTCAATGGAAGACTCACAACTATCTTCTTCAAAGCAAGTGGCAAGCAACGAAGAGATTCTAACACTGAGAAGGCACAATACATTTTACAGGGAATACATTTTAGAGGGAACTCTTACCTACTCCTTATGGGTTTTATTGTAAATTGGAAACTGTTTTGTGGAGCTCAGATAATTGGAAATCACTTTGTTGAGCTTAGATAATTGTTGTTTGGATTGCTGGTGAGTCCAATGACTTGGTTTTAATTGTTGTGGGCCACTTAGAGTCATTATTGTGAGATAGGCAGCTATACAAATAATTTAGATAAAGAAACAGTCATGGCAACCTCTTGGCATCATAGCTACCGCTGAACCTGAAAGTCAGGAGGAGAGAAGAAAGCAGCAGCAATACAGTAACACGACACTGCAGAATGAAGGGAATGTAAGAGAAAAAAAAGTTAAAAAGTGGAGGATCTACAAGAATTTTTCCTTCCCCCAAAGAAAGAGAGCCCTAAATGATAACGATTCTGAGGTTCTCTCCATTTCTTGATAAAAGAATATTGAGAATTTTTGTGATAAAAATAAGAATGTTGAAGTTTGAAGAGCCGGTCTACCAAATATATTTGAGGATTAATTTCATCCAACATTGCCCTTTCCTGTGTTGAAGGGACAGGAGGGTAGGGATTCTTTCTTTGGCCTTTGATAACAAGTGGTTTCTATAAACTTCAAAAAAAGAAGCTTTACAGACTTGGAGAAATCTGCAAACAAACTTATGATCCTGGCCAAGAATAAAAGAGATGAAAAACCAAAAAAATGGCAATAGCAATCGTAAGCTTACTGATTGCAGAATGGAAATTGTTAGTTTTCACATTCTAAACTAGAGAAGAGCTCCTCGGACAAGAAGACAATCTTACTCAAAAGAAATCCAAGCATTACAGACCAGGAAAGTGCTCTTAACCAGATAATTGTAAACTTTGGTCCAGAGTTGGGACTCAATATACCTTATGTTAGAAAGAATTTGCTTAAGATGGATTTTTAAATTAATATTTTTTAAAAAATCAATACTTTTTCTTTGCCCACGGCAATTAATTGATAATGTGAAATATATATTTTAAAATACCAGTTTCATGGGTGGGTTATACTCTATTTTCCCCCTTTTTCTTTGTTATGTTTTTCCTATTGTGTTTTGTGTGTGTGTGTGTGTGTGTGTGTGTGTGTGAGAGAGAGAGAGAGAGAGAGAGAGAACCTGAGGAGGAATTTATGTTTGTAGAGACAAATGTTGGCAAAGGGGGAGTAGGGATTTTTTTTTTATCCTGCCTTTATTATTTTTATAAATTACTTGTCAGATTAAAAGATAAATGGAGAAGAGATGTGGGTTTGGTTTATGGCAAAGAGATGCCTTCACATGTTTTGAAAAAAGTTAAAAAAAAAGTTCATATCTTTTGGAGATATGGTAAGAGCTAGAATTTTTCTGGGATAGAGATGTTGAGAATGTACACTGACAACTGAAACTTAGGACTGACTATGTGAAATGTTAAGTGGGTTTTCAATTAAATCATGAAAACTGTGGGAAGAAAAAAAGCTCCAGATTAAATCCATGAGGGGTATAAAGTGGGACAGTGATTATTGTCAGAGGCAATAATCTGTTATTTATTTGCTTGTTAAATTTATCACCTGACTCTCAGTGATTCTGTGCAGCTCACAAGTAAATCCATTTTTAAACATACAATAAGAAGTAAAACTAAAAGAACAAGAGATGGCAAAGATGAGACAAACCAGACTGGAACAAAAAAGAAAAAAACTCAGGCAATCTAAGAGAGCCTTCACTCACCCTCACCAAAGGTCTGAAAGAAGATTCAGATCTATATACAGTAGTAATAGGGTTTCACTTCTGCTCTTACTGTAAATATTGGCTTCATTCTGTTAGGGATGAAGAAATTAGGGAGTTTCAGCCAAACTGTAGCCTGTTGACTGCACAATACATGCTCCATATCAAACTTAGCTAGATTGTTCTACTATTTTCTTTTTCTCCTGAATGAGACCTGTTAACTTCTGACTCTTAAGGGAGGGGTCCCCAACCTGTGGTCCATGGCCCACTATTAGGCCGTGGCCTACTGGCCAGTGGGCCATGAAATAGGCTGACTAAGACGAAAACAGGATGCCGCACTGCGAAAATGGAGTGGTGCTAGCGCATGCATAGGAAAAATGGGGTGGTGCTAGTGAGTGTCATGCGAGCACTAGCACCACCCTATTTGCTTTGCACGTGCTCATGGCCTCATTTGTGTGTGCGCACGCACGCATGCATAAAATGCTTCCCCCTCCCTTTCCTTCTGGTCCACCAACCGAGCAAGATTGGAGACTTCTGTCTTAAGGTTTCTGAAAAGGTTTGAACACACACCATAAAACAAGATATATCCATGATAAAATTAGCACTGGTGTAAGAAAGTTCAATGAGATATAATGGCAGGGAATTAAATTCATGAATTCCAACCCAATTGGATGGCATTAGATAGAGACTTCATATGAACAATCATAGATAATCTGTTCTGAACCCGCTACTCCGCTGATTCATAGAGCATGCTTTAAATTATAGGAATTATAGTCTAATACATCTAGAGAGGCAGGAAAAATTGTATTTCATTTTTTTGCATTGGGACTAGTTTTGGACTAGAATTAGTGGAAAAGGCCCCTCAAGCAGGAAATGAAACATTAGTCAATACTGCATGTTGTAACATCTTCTGTGCGATGGATTGCAATAATGAACGTTGGTTTTTACCATTTTAGATGACCAATACCAACACGTCCCTGTGGAGCTATGTCTCCACCATGTCTCTGGAGCGGTTCAACGGCTTATATGAAGAATTTCCTCATACTCTACGTTGTCTCCTAGGGGAGTGGCTGGAAACTGAACCATGGTAAGTCAACTAAAAAGGTAATGAATGGTAGACTTAATCAGATTTGACAATGTCTCATTTTTATCCCATGTTCCTAATGCACAGGTGGGTATAGCTTTTTCTCTTTCCATCTGATTATTTTATTGACAGATCATACATTTGGAATAGTTCCTCCATCAATATATTGTACTATAGTTATCATTTCTAGATCATCAATACATTTCAGGCTTTGACTCAGAAATCATCTTGGCCAGTCTCTTTTAGAAATCCATGAGTAATATAATAAGATGGGAAATATGTCTTCCTCTTCTTCAGATCCTTCCAAGAAGGTTTGCAATGCTAAGTGAGGTTTAAGAGTGTTACTCTTTTCTTGGTCATGGCTTGTATAATACATTAGGTTGGGAAGAGTCACATTGTGAATGGAGTCTTTCTGTTAACAAAATTTTGCAAATTAAGTTTTCACTCAAATCTAAACTTCAAGTGTCTTTTATTACCTCTCTTTTTTTCTAACTTGAGTTATAACCAGTGGTGGGATTCAGCCAGTTCAGCAGAACCAGTAGCTAATTTTGTTGCCCAGGTCCAGAATGGATTTCCGGAAGCGGCATCTACACAGAGAACCGGTTGTTCTCCAGCATGATGAGTGGAGAATCCACCAGTGGGTTGTCTCTGCCTTCTTGCTCAGATAGACTAAGTCTAAAAATTGCCACGTCTCCTGCAGAGCTAGACTGTCCCAGTTTTCGACTTAGTCTTCGCTCAGCAGGACGCTATAATTTTGGCTCCTTCTAGGCTTAGTTATTAGGTTGAGAACCCTTGTGGAATTTCCACTACATCAACAATTGGCTTTTTCCCAAATTTCTACAAATTTTTTCCAAATTGACTAGATTTGAACTGCTTGCCCTAATTAGCATATTTGGAGAGATTGTACTCACTTCAGCCGATCCGAGCTCCCGGCCAGCTGAGACAGCCCTTCTTGAGGCGAGGGGGATTTCGCCATTCCCAGCTGATTAATTAGCCAGCAGATTCGTCGGAGCTCTATCGGCCTTCAGATGTTGCACGGAGCCCTCAGCTGATTTTCGGAAGTTTCCTGGCTCTCGGAAGGCTACACGGAGCAACGGACTGCCGAGTCATCCGCTTCTGCTCCTGGACAAACAGAGCCTTCAGCATGGTCAGAATCTCCCCTACGGACTCCGGCCAAGCTGCTCAGGCCGTGCAACCTTCCCTCAGGCTCTGCTGGTCCTGTCAGCAAACCGCTAATTTGGGCGCGGCTGCCATTTTGGACGGCGCACAAACAACTTGTCAGAACAAGAAAAGGTCTTGGAAGGGAGCACTTGAGCACTTGAGGCCACGGACCTCTTTCTGGCTGCCCTGCCAGGGCATTGTGGGGAGGAATTTCACACTTGCCAGCCTCCCAATTTGAATTAACTTGTGAAGCCCAAGGCGAGGCGAGCTTGGCGAGGCCATTTTGTGAGCTGCGCACTCCTCAGCTTCAAGCCATTGCAGTGCTGACAGTCAGGCCTTTGAGGCCAGCATTTTGAGACACCGGGGGAACTTCGGAGGCATTTGACTTGCCCCCCCCTTTTTTCGTAAAAGTTAGATTTCAGAGACAACCCAGAGGTTTCCTTTTTCCTCATTACATCCCCTGGAGCCATAACCAATCCTCCTTCATTGGAATTCACCACTAATTTGCCCAGATCCTTGATTGCAGGGAGTTTTTTTTTATCAGTGGCCACTTGTCCTTATAGGTGCTGGCACTGTGTCGCAGGCCTGACAGGTAGCTGTAGGAAACTACCTGGCTGGCAGCCATTGTATCTGGGGCAGAGCTTGGGTTTCCCTCTCTGTCAGACCAGAATTGTGAATTGCTCCCACTCCGGAAATCTCCTACTCGGAATATCTCGGCTACAATGGCTGATAGCCAGGTAGTTGCCTTTCAAGCTACGCAGCACTCTTCTGGTCCCCCTGCCAAGAAGAAAAGTAAATCCTCCAAATTAGAGGCGGCGGGGAAAATCAAGGCCAAGGCCATTTCCACTAAGAAGCCCTCCAAAACTGCTGAGAGAGAGGCCACAAAGAGGCATCAGGCGCTGGAGCGTGAGTTCTCCAGAGCACAAAAACTCACCTCCAGTGGATCAGAATTGGTTTCCCCCGCTCCACTGGAAAGGTCACCCTTTGAACCACAATACGTGCCGCTTATCTCAGCCCCGCGGGCTTAGTCTCCTCAGAGGGAAACCGGACAGGTGGATCTCCCTCTCCCTTCCCTTACTACAGGCCCCCGGGAGATCCCCCCTTCCCCTAGAGTTCAACAAGCTCCAGAGGCCACCTTCACGCCTACGGCAGCTGGCATCCGTCCACCGGAACAACAGGGGCATGGTCTGACCAGTCTCAGTTTCAGGCCTTCATGGCGCAGGCCTTTGCCCACTACATGGCCTCCTCTATGGGAGGACAGCCCTCCTTAGTGCCCGGGCCCCCATTTCAAACTTTCCACAGACCGAGTCAGCCCCCTTTCCAGGCTCTGCCTTCTCAGACAGATCCTCCCAGGGAGAAGATTTGGGTTTGGAGGATTATGGGACATCTGGCATGCTGATGTCTGAGGATGAGGAAGCATCTCCAGATCCTTCTCCTGTTACCGGCCTCTTTGACCAATCTCTCTTCAGGTCGCTGCTCCTGAAAGCATGCACATCGGCTAACATCACCCCTGAACAGGAGCCACAGCCAACACCTCCTGCCCCCCAGGACTCGAACCCATTGTTCTCTGAGCCGGTGATTGCGGAGAAGCAGATTCCCGTTCCTCCCTTCTTCCGCAATACGGTGCAAAAGCAGTGGTCCTCCCTGGGTACCTCCCCCACTCCAAGTGGAGCAGAGAAAAAACTCTTTAACGTGTCTTCTTCCTTTTCTTCACTCCTGGAGGTGCCACTCGCGGACATACCTTTAACCTCTCTGTTTTCTTCCCCCACTTATCAGGGGGCATGGCTGAGGTCCTAAGAGTGGAGGACAAGAGATTTGAGCTTTCCCTTCGCAGGTCTCACCAAGCCTCGGCGTGGTCTGTAAAGGCAGTGACATCCTCGTCATTCTTCGCCAGATCATCCATCATCTGGCTCCGGGAACTACAGGCTCTAATTCCACCTAACCAGGTGCGAGCACAGCAGACCTTGGGCAAGCTGGTTGCCACATCTGAATACATGGCGGACGCCCCTCTTTATTCTGCCAGGTACTCTGCCCGGTCTATAGCAGCCAGTGTCTCGGCCTCAGGCTACTTTGGCTCAAGCAGTGGCGGACTGACCTAAAGTCCAAGTGGCGTCTGGCAACAGACAGGAGATCGCAACAAGACTCCCGAAGGCAATCCTTCCGCATTGGGCCAACATGGGTCTGGAGACAGCCCTTTCGTGCCGGACCAGCCTGGGACTGGTCTCAAAATCTGTACTCCTTTCCTCCCAGGCAGGATCAGCAACAGGACCGTCAAAGCCCCAGGCCCAGGTCCCAGTACCAGACCAAACGGCCCTTTCGGGGCTCCGGAGGCTGTCCGTATAGACGGAACAAGTGACTACAGGGAGACCTCTCCCAAAGGAGACCGGCTATCCCTATTCGCTGACATTTGGGAGGCCACCACCACAGATTCCTGGGTGCTAGACACCATCCGACAAGGCCTTGCCCTGGAGTTCTTAACCATACCTCCAGGACGCTTCCTCACTTGCCCCAACACGAGGAACGCCACCAAGACAAGGCTCATCTCCATGGCCATCTCCCATCTACTGCAGATAGAGGCCATAGAGCCAGTGCTCACAGAACAGAAGGGACAGGGGTTCTACTCCATTCTATTCGTGGTACCGAAGGCCTCGGGGGGCTGGAGGGCGATATTAGACTTGAAAGGACTAAATTACCCCTTGGCCTACAAGCGGTTCAAGATGCAGACTCTCAAGTCTATCCTGGCCAGCATCAGGAGGGGGGATTTCCTGTCCTCCATAGACCTAACGGAAGCTTATCTTCATGTTCCAATCCTACCCGAGCACTGCAAATTCCTCCAGTTTTGTTACGCGCACCGGCATTTTCAGTACAAAGCTCTCCCGTTTGGGCCTTTCCTCGGCCCCACGAGCATTCACGAAGATCTTAGTAGTATTAGCAGCCCATCTGAGAATGATACTGGTGTGCATTCAATGTTATCTGGACTATATCCTTATTCAGTCCCGTTCCTTCTGTTGGGCCAGTCGGACCTAGCACTCACCATCAGGACTCTTCAGGTTCACGGATTCTCCGTAAACTTTCAAAAGAGCCACACGGTCCTCTCAACTCACCTCCTCCACCTGGGGGCAATCATAGACTCGAACCTTTGCGAGGTTTTCCTTTCCCAGGAACGCCGGGACAGCATCCGGACCCTTGTACACCGAGTCCGAATGGAGAAGGCTGTTCCTCTAGTTCAACTGTCACAGTTGCTGGGGAAAATGGTCTCCTGTATGGGGATCGTTCCATGGGCCAGTTTGCACTCCAGAGAGTTTCAATGGTTCCTTCTTCCCTACCAGAAGTTGAACATGAGCTCCTCCAACAGGAGGGTAAGGGTCCCACGCCGGACACTATCATCTCTCCTGTGGTGGACCTCCCCGGCAATGGCAAAGGGATCCCTCTTCAAGAAGCCTGCCAGGCTCACCTTGACCACAGACGCCAGCTTGTTTGGATGGGGGGCCCACCTCCAGTTATATTTGGCTCAGGGTCAGTGGTCCTGTTCGGACCTGAGCCACAGTATAAACTGGTTGGAATTCAAAGCCATTCATCTGGCCCTACACCACTTCTCCACCAGGGTGGTGGGACAACATGTGGCAGCAAAGGCACACGTAAACAGGCAGGGAGGGACCCGATTCAAGTCCCTTATGCTCGAAGTCCACAGTTTGAACTCTTGGGCAGAGACCAATCTAGCCTTGCTCAAGGCAGAGCATATTTCAGGGGAGACGAACCAACAAGCAGATTCCCTGAGCAGATTTACCATGGACCACTCAGAGTGGCGCCTGGATCCAGCCCTATTCAGGAAGATCTCGGACAGATTCGGCCAACCTCAGTTGGACCTGTTTGCCTCCCCAACCAACTCTCAACTGCCCAGGTTCTTCACCAGGTTCACTTCCCCAGGGGCAGAGGGAATGGACGCTCTTCGCAGCAGGTGGCCAGGGAGTTGCTGTACACCTTGCCTCCCCTTCCCCTGATTCCGGTGACCATCCGCAAGGTGCTGCAGAAACAGGCGGAGATCATTTTGGTTGTTCCACATTGGCCGAGATGCCTGTGGTTTGCCGACCTCGTGGAGCTTTCCATCTCACCTCCATGGAGGATTCCTCCAGAGCACATCTCCCTCAGCCAAGGGACCCTTCAACACCCGGATCCCCAGTGGCTCCAGTTGACCGCCTGGCACTTGAGCGGCAGAATTTAACCAGACAATCCTATTCGTCGAGGGTGATCTCTATGGTCCAAGCTTCCAGACGCCCCTCTACAAATAGGATTTATGATGCGACTTGGAGAAACTTCTGTATGTGGTGCACTAGGCACAACCTCCAGCCTCTTTCAGTGACCATTCCAAATATTCTAGACTATTTGATGGAGGGTCTGGATAAGGGGTTAACTCCTAGCACTATCCGTAGACAGGTAGCGGCCTTATCCACGGTGCTTACTTGTGACAATCTTGGCCGTTTAGCCCAACACCCAGTGGTAAGTGCCTTCCTCAAGGGGGCGACTAATGCCAGGCCACCAGTGATACGTCAATACCCCTCTTGGGACCTGTCTCGGGTTCTTCAGGCCCTGACTTCAACACCATTTGAACCTATGCAGTCTTGCGCTCTGCAATTCTTTTCAATGAAAGTGGCCTTCTTGATTGCGGTCACATCAGCAAGACACATTTCAGAGCTGGCGGCCCTCTCCATTAGAGAAGACCTGTGCACGTTCCATGAGGATAGGGTGGTCCTTCGTTTAGATCCATCGTTTATCCCCAGGGTAAATACCTGGTTCCACAGGTCTCAAGAGGTAGTACTTCCCAACTTCTGTCCCAATCCATCTCATAGATTGGAACGACAGTGGCATAAATTGGATGTACGCAGGGCCCTACGTTATTATATAAAACAGATGTCTGCCTTCCGCAAGTCTGAGGCCCTGTTCGTGTCTTTCCAGCCCTCTTCCATGGGTCAGAAGGTCTCTTCTTCGACCATTGGTAGGAGGATCAGGGCTTGCATTGCCTGTGCTTACCTGTCACATTCCCTACCGATCCCCGGCCACATCACTGCCCATTCCACTCGCAGTGTGGCTGCATCAGCGGCCTGGTCGACACAGGCATCGATTGAAGAAATCTGCAAGGCAGCAACTTGGTCCTCCCCACCCTCCTTCGTCAGACACTATAGGTTGGACAAGTTTGCTTCTTTGGATGCTTTGTTTGGCCGGTGGGTGTTACAACAGGTGATTTCATCTGGTGGGACACAAGCCTAGACTACTTTCCCCCCCGTAGGACATGAGCGGCTTTGGTATGTCCCACCGGTGGATTCTCCACTCATCATGCTGGAGAAGGCGTTGTCTTACCTGAACGCCTTTTCTCAGCATGATGATGGAGAATCCACATCCACCCTTTAACGGCCGTCTGGTCCTGTGTCTCGGGTAAGAGGAGCCATCGCGTCGGACTATCGTCGGTTGCTTCGCCTCGGTCGAAAACTGGGACAGTCTAGCTCTGCAGGAGGCGTGGCAACTTTTAGACTTAGTCTATCTGAGCAAGAAGACTGAGACAACCCACCAGTGGATTCTCCATCATCGTGCTGAGAAAAGGCGTTCAGGTAAGACAACGCCCCTTCACATATTTGAATCCCACCATTTACTTGAGTCTCATTATCTCTTATGTCTCAATTTTCATTTTATCTAGAGTTTATATCTTAGCTTTGATCTAGTCTCTATCTTGTATTTTTCTATAATGTCTGAGATGCAGAGCATGTCTCAGCCTGGATTCAGATTCATGTGCACTTGGATTTTCAGTTAGGGCTGGGCTTGGGTTTGAAATAGTTGCCATCATTACCCTGGGGCTTTTCTGAGAGCAGTCCAAGCTTCAATGTGTCGTTGTCAGTATTCGCAGCTGTGGTCCTCCTTCCTGGATACCAGAGCACTGGGTTCACCTCAGTCGGGTTTCTTTGGCTCCTTCTCAGGTTCTTTGTTGGTGCTACTCTCTTCTGTCCGTTGTAATTCAAATTGGACTTGTTGCTTGTTGCCCTTTCCATTTGCTTCTCTAGTTTCTGTGTTGTTACTCTGTCCACCTATGCTCTGGATGGTTAGTGATGCCTCTGCTTTCTACTTGCTGCCTATCACCATCATTACATTTCTTCTCTCTGCTGGCACTGCTCTGCCCAACATTTTCAGGACTTCAATGTTGACTTTCAGCTTCTTTTCCTTTCTTCATCGTATTCCTTATTTCTGCTTCTTTCCTCCAGACATCTTCTTACTACCTTCCATTGTTTCAATGGCCCTCTTTTTCAAGGACCAGCTTCTTTATTCTGGCAGAGTGGGAGTCTTTATAGATAAAGGTAGAACAGGGGTAGGCAACCTTGACTCTTTTATGACTTGTGGACTTCAACTCCCAGAATTCCTGAGTCAGCCATGCTGGCTCAGGAATTCTGGGAGTTGAAGTCCACGAGTCATAAAAGAGCCAAGGTTGCCTACCTCTGAGGTAGAAGGAATAGCACAAGGACCTTTTGCTTGCTATGCACCCATCTTTTTCCAGTTTGAACCAGTTGAGTTTAGGAACTTTGAAGAGGGAGATGGCTTTGGTGCAGGCATAATAGCCTGGATCTCTACACTTCTTTATTTTTACCTTTTTGTCCCATTTCTCTGCCTGCTCCCAATGTTCTCCCCAGGGAATTCATCAACAGATCAGACTCTTTCTGTACTCTTCTGGCTGGAAGGCTGCTGTCTGCCATGGTGGAGAAGATACGAGATCTTGCCAACAAAAACTGCAATTCTGCTGCTCAGATTCTTCAGTTTGTTGCTAACATTGAGGTAGGGAAGGCTGCAATGTGAATGTGGTATGTCTCTGAAAGGATCCTCGTCAGTCCTACCACAATGTCCATATTTGTTTTTGTGCCATGCATTGTGATGCTGAGTCCTGTGATTTAAACTTCCACCTTTTAAGAAGAGACTGGACAGCCACTTGTCCGAAATGGTGTAGGGTTTCCTGCCCGAGCAGGGGGTTGGACTAGATGACCTCCAAGGTCCCTTCCAACTTTACTACTATTACTATTACTATTACCTTATTTTCTAGACAGCAGAAGAAACAGAGTTCCTTCTTCTGTTCTCTTCTTTTTAAAATGGTAGAAAAGAGGCACGGGGCTTTAGCTTAACTAAACTAAACATTTCAGGCAGCATTCCCTAGATTAAGAAAAGGGATACCCTTATCTGGGATGAAGGAAATGATTACCAAGATTGCTGTAGCGTAGCTGAATTGTTTTATCATACACACAAAAATTAGGCCTTAAGATGGGGTATCCTGATTATTTAATTTACCAGGAAAAGGTGGGAATAGGCATGTTTTAATCTGCAGCCCTGGCAGGGAACCACAGCCAAGCATAACATGCAGGCTGCATCTTGAGAATTGAACATCAGAGGTCTCAATCAACCAGTGCTCAGAGATTGGTCTGTAATTGGGTGCATCAGGCTATGCTTTCAGTTTTGCATCCAAACACAAATCTCCTCCCCCATCCCCCACCCCCCAAAACTCAGAAAAAAAGGAAGTAAATTGCAAGCTTCCTGTTGGTTTGCCATAGACACATATCTCAGATTGATGGTTCTGAATTAACATCTTTTTATGCAGCCATGCCAGTTGCCATGACTCCACAGATATTTTGATTCATTCCTGCTTCTGCGGTGGTATTTACCTTTGTAGACAGGAGTTTCCGGTTTGTATAGAATCTTGAAATTGTATCAGAAGGAAGCCAGGACCGCATGCAAAAATTACCCAATGATGCTGGTTGATTTCTCAGAGACTCCCTGAGTTTCAAGAATGGAATATAACTTACTTCTAGTAATGTTCAGTGACTAGCTTGGCTCAGTCTTCCTTCAACAATCTTTTTGTTTTAAGAAAACATTTTAAGAAAGGGAACCCCCCTAGGTCCTAATGCCCAGGTAAATTACAGAGCCTCAAGGCCTCCATTAAAGTTGCAATGCAAGAAACATGGATGTGTAAACATGGTATGTATATGAGATTGTGTCCTGAAATGACACAGTGGGTTGTACCAGAATGCCTGGAGGGTTCCAATTCTGAATGTTTCATAACAACTCAAAATATGGAACCTTACTCAGGAGTAACAATCCATGATACATCTGTTCTTTTTTAAAACAAACATCAAATCTACATTGATCTAAAGATTGTCCTGTCTGCACAATCTGTTTGTGATCTAGATTCACTTGGAAGGTATAGATAGGTGCTTCACTTCCCAGAATCTGAAAGAGAGAAATCTTTAACTTATATGTTTTAACTTGTTCTTAACTCTTTTTAATTTAAGCTCTTATGTAGGTGTTTATATTGTTTTATTATGTTGTTGTAAACTGCCCAGAGTCACTTAGGCGAGATGGGTGATGTAGAAATTTACTAAATAATAATAATAAATATAATAAAGCTCGTACAGCAATTCTAGGTGAACTTGTTATGGGAAGAATAGTGGATTGTCCCAGAAGTAGACAGAAGGATGACAAGTATTAACAGTTGGCATCTTCCTAATAATTATAGAGCAGATATCGGAAAGATCCACTGCAACTGGCAAATGTTATAAAAAGGATCTTGGAAGCAGAGCAAAGAGCAGTTCAGCAGCAGGTAAGAGATTTTCTACATCTGTTTCCTGAGACCTAAACAGTTGCTCGGACTCTTAAATCCCATCTGTTAGATAATGGTTAAAAATAGAGGCAGTGCAGCTATTATCTATTGCTAAGGAGCCCCACAACTTCCAGTGATTGCAAGACCCATTCTAGAACTTGGCATCTCCAAATTGCCTATGCCTTCCATGATATGAGCTCCATCAAATATTACTTCTCTCTTTACTTGTATTTGTAAAATCAGCACAAGAAATGCAAACTATATGAAAAAGGAGCTGCTTCGGTTCTTCCAGTCTCTTTTGACGGCTGACCTGGGACATTCCATTGTGTCTAGGGCAGGGGTAGGCAACCTTGGCTCTTTTATGACTTGTGGATTTCAACTCCCAGAATTCTTGAGCCAGCCATGCTGGCTCAGGAATTCTGGGAGTTGAAGTCCACGAGTCTAGGGTTTCTGGCCTCATGTGTCCTTCCAACCTTTATTACCAGAAAGAGTTCTGTCCTAAAAGGAACGTAGCAGGGAGAATCATGTCTCGTTTCTCCATCTTGCAGCATCAACACGTTCCCCTTGTAATCGAACGTCAGCGAGAAGAACTGATGTTTCGATTCAGCCTGGAGAAGCTGCACTACAGACTTCAGGAGATTCAAACTCTCCGGGAAAGCTTCCAGCAGATGAAGGGCAATGCCAGAGGTGAGGACACACACAAAGAGCATTTGAGAAGTCTGGGCACTGAAAATGAAGTGAAAAAAAGAATCGTCCCTTCCAATCTTGCTTGCTTGGTGCACATACAATGAGGAATTTTGGCAGCAGAATGGCCCATATTCGATGGACACTCTAGATACGAACCACTTTAGTGGATCAAACTCTTGTAGTATTTCACTGTGACCAGTACAGTACAGATACCAAAAAGTCTTAGATACAGTCTTATAATTATTACATACCGTAGTCATACAAGACAGGGGGCAAACTATCCTCATTATTAATAAGCAATTTGAGTTTTCAGACTTGATCTAGTCAAGAAAATGTCAATGTAAGCTGCATAATTGTCTCCAAGCTGCTTTTTCAAAAGGCAGCTGGACTTCGTTTTTTCCTTGAAGATGTTTCAACCAATCAAGCTTCTTGGATGATAAGTGGAATGTCCTCAAGGAAAAACAAAGAAAAGTCCGGTTGCCTTTTGAAAAAGCCCCTTTGAGACAACCATGACCTGGATGACTGAGAATCTTCATAGACAGTAATAAGTTGCATACATTTATACTTGTGCAGCAGATACTGTTCTTAAGCAATCACACTTGCTTAAGACCTGTGGCCATGTAAATCTTTTAAATAAATAAACTTTCCCCCTTAAGAGAAATATTTTTAAAATTGAAAGGTATTCTTTCTCACAAATGTAAGTATGCCCATGCCCCTTTTTTTAAATAGCAGATTGACTATACAAATGACATTTTAGAAGCAAATATGGGGAAATCAGCACAGGTGGGTGGTAGGAGAGATGTGCTGCTGCAGAATTTTTTTGCATGGATTTTTATATGGATTTTATCATTTTTTTTTTACTTGAAAACCATCCAGAGTCACTTTGATAGTGAGATGGGTGGTATATACATTTGATTTAAAAAATGAATAAATTGCCATATCCTCTACCTCTTCAATCTATGAGTGGAAGAAAACATATAACTGAGAAAATTCATACATGAGAGATCTATGTCCTGGCTTCAAAGAGACACTACAGGTATCCACCGAGTGGTTACTAGTGATGGTGACATCTCTCCTGCATGGGGAAGGCAGGTTGATGGGAATTTGTCTCTAGGATCTCTCCCTGCAACATCACCTGACATTATAACATCTGATTTGTTATTTGTTGTGCCTGAGGCTGGGATTTTTATTGCTCTAATTCACATTTGGAGGACTGTACACTGCAGCTTGATGAGAAGGGAAGAGGCGTCACATAAAACATAGTAGCCGTCACATGACTCCTAGTTGTGTAGTCTTCTGGGAGAAGAGTCAAAGATTTGGTCAAAAGACTTTGGCAAGCAAGAAAAGAAGTTGGAAGAGATAACAAGGGAAGTTTCAGCCACATTCTGGCAGCATCAGTGTTGTCTCTTTGCTTACTGCATAGGACATGAAATTAGGAAAGGGGTGACCTGCCTTTGAATCCTGTCTCTGCTCCCTAATCTTAATGATGATGATGATGATGATGATAACGTTGGAAAGGACCTTGGAGGTCATCTAGTCCAACCCCCTGCTCAGGCAGGAAACCCTATACCATTTCAGACAAATGGCTGTCCAGTTTCTTCTTAAAAACTTCCAGTGTTGGAGCATTCACCGCTTCTGGAGGCAGGTTGTTCCACTGGTTAATTGTTCTAACTGTCAGGAAGTTTCTCCTTAGTTCTAGGTTGCTTCTCTCCTTGATTAGTTTCCACCATTGCTTCTTGTCCTGCCTTCAGGCGCTTTGGAAAATAGCTTGACTCCCTCTTCTTTGTGGCAGCCCCTGAGATATTGGAACACTGCTATCATGTCCCCCCTCGTCCTTCTCTTCGTTAAACTAGACATACCCAATTCCAGCAACCGTTCCTTATATGTTTTAGCCTCCAGTCCCCTAATCATCTTTGTTGCTCTTCTCTATACTCTTTCTAGAGTCTCAACATCTTTTTTACATCGTGGTGACCAAAACTGGATGCAGTATTCCAAGTGTGGCCTTACCAAGGCATTGAAGAATGGTATTAATACTTCACGTGATCTTGATTCTATCCCTCTGTTAATGCAGCCCAGCACTATGTTGGCTTTTTTGGCAGCTGCAGCACACTGCTGGCTCATATTTAAATGATTGTCCACTAGGACTCCAAGATTCCACTCACAGTTACTACTATTGAGCAAGGTACCCCCTATACTATACCTGTACATTTGGTTTTTCTTGCCTAAATGTACAGTAGAACCTTACTTTTTTCATCACTGAATCCAGAGCGATGCCATTTGAGCTACTCTGGACCTTCCATGTTATTCCCATGTTTCAGTAGAGCACAGGGCTCTTCGCTACCTCACATTTGCATCAGAGCTAAGTTTAAAATTCTGGTACTTTCCAGGATCAGTTTCCTCTTATCTCTTCCCGTAGTTTTTCGTTTTTTATGCTCTTCTAAATAGGATCTTTTTTCTCTCTTTCAATTCCTTCTTCCAGATCTGCTTTTTCCAAGTTCTGGGCTTTTAGACCTGTGACCCTAAAGTCAGTTTCCTTCCTCTTTGTGAAAAAAGGGGTTTAAAGACCTTTTTATTGGATTAATGTGTATGTATAGTCTGGTTATTTCACCCTGAGTTTATTTAGCTGTCAAATTTCTATTAACGTCTGCTTCAAATTATGAATGTAAATATATTTTTCCATTTCTTATCATGTCTTGGTAAATAATGATAAACTTATTACTAAGCAAACAGAAGAAGGTTTTCTCCGGGTTTATCCAGGGACAAATAAAGCATTTCCCTACCCATTTAACAACAGTAGATAAGACGCATCCGTGTATTAGCACATATCGGATCCATTTTGTTGTCAACATTTGAAAGGTGATCAACTCATTGAGAGATGGGGACAGGAAGGGCCAAATGGAACATGCCTGAACATATGCATAGCATCTGCCAGGAACACATTATACCAAGCAAGCCTTTTCCCAGGATTGCATGTTGGCTTCAGGCAATAGCTGTACAAGTCCAGGAAAATATGCAGCTATTTTAAAGGGTTGTGTGTCTAAATTGCATTTTGTCATTTGATCTGCATCACTGCATAGACTTAAAAAGTAATATTAGAATTGGTCTTATTTTTTTAATCGATCACTGTGGAAAGAAAAATCTTCATCGGGGTCCAGTCCAAGCCAGGAATAATCAAAATGGAGACTGCTTTAGAAAGAAGGTTGTAGTTTATTGAAGAGGAAAGCCAGACAGAAAGATGGCTCTGGAAAAACTGACCACCTGTAGTAGGGGGAGGTGGATTTTTATACCTTCTTGAGCCTTTGTTTGGAGTTGTTCCTTTGATCTAAGTCTGAGTGTGCCTTTCTGGTATTCTGATGGTGGTGGGTTATGTTCTGTCCCAGCCTATGTGAGTCCTTGTTAACTCACAAGGACAAACCCCTCTTTTAACAAGTAGGCTGGAAATGCAGGAAAAACAAACCCCTTTTATCAATTATATACAGACCTGCGAAGTGTCCCAAAAGCAAAGGCAAACAGAGCACGATTCAAACAGAGAATTGTTCACAGGCAAGACAAACAGATTCCATGAACCAGCACCACCCACACCTTCCCTTTTTATTATGTAGCCCCAAGGTGTGGCTTCTCAATGCCTTCTCCTCCTCCCTTGGAGTTGCCCCATTGTCTCCCTCTATCCTGCTCTTGTTGCCTGTCTGTGTTTGTGAGCGTCTATGATGTCTTCCAGCTGTGAGTCTTCAGAGTTTGACTCAGCTTCCCAGCACAGCTGGGTCTCAGCCTGAGCACGAGTGGAGGGGCCAGGTTCTTCATCAGATGGTAAGTCCTGGAGCTCATCAGAGCTTTCCTCTGACTCTGATGGCTCTCCAGGCCCCTCCTCCTCCTCCTCTGATTCCATGGACTCAGCTGCCAGGTCTACTGGCTGGCACGGAATCACAACAGGTTAATCCTATTATGTCCCAAAGGTCATATCCTGCTTCCCTGAGGCTGTGGCTGATAAGTGTTTGATTTTTTTTTTATTATTATTCTAGGGATCTTTATCTTTCTAATCCCAGCTTCCTGGCTCCAGTGTTTCTGACAAGAGTATTACATCTGCATTTCTGCAGACCTGGTTTCTGTTTGGGGCAGAGAGACTGGGGGAGGGGGTTTCTGCTTTAAGACCCTTTGGGGAAATATAATCTGCCTTTTAATATTCCCAAAAATATTTCTTTCTCTGAGGGGGCCTGACTTCCCACATCACTTTAAAACAGTGTTTCCCAAACTTGACAATTTTAAGGCATGAGGACTTCAATTCCCAGAATTCCACAGCCAGCAACGCTGGCTGTGGAATTCTGGGAGTTGAAGTCCACATGCCTTAAAATTGTCAAGTTTGGGAAACACTGCTTTAAAACATCAATTGGGATAAAAATGTGTACAGGTAATCTTCATTTAGTGACCACAGTTGGAACCGGCAACTTAGTTGTTAAGAAACTGGTTGCTAAATGAAACCACAATTGTGCTTATAGAAATTTTATTGAAGTTTATCTGAATAGATATCAAATATATAGAGAAATGAAGATAATAAAGAGAATCAGTTCAGCTTAGTGGTTAAAGCACCAGGCGAGAAGCCAGGAAACTATGAGTTCTAATCCTGCCTTCCCATGAAAGCCAGCTGGGTGACTTTGAACCAGTCACTCTTTCTCCAACCCAGCTCACAGGGTTGCTTGGAGGACAACAAGAAGAGGAAGGAATATTGTGTGTGTTCAGACTTTGAGTTATTTATAAAAATAATAAAGGCAGAATACATATAAATAAAAATAAAAGGAAAATGGAGAAGGAAAAAGAAGGGGAAAGAAGTAAAGGAGAAAGAAAAAAAAATAGCAGTTGCTTCCAACTTTTTTCAGTGCAGTAAAGTGCAAAATATTATAGAGTTCTATCAACTTTTTACTTTTACATCATTAGTGAATATTAGCCATTTCTATAACGGCAAACTAATCTAATGACCAAAATGTCATTTTTTTTCTGTTTCAAACATAAAGTTTAGGAGCAATTTCCAAGTAGAAGCAAAACTTGATATGTTGTTTCCTTAATTAAAACAATTAATTTTGCCATCTCTGCCTGCTCTGTCACTTTTTCCATCCAATCTTCAGAAACCACAACCCTGCTTACGATGTTACTTAGCTTTTCTTTGGTTTACGTAGTGTGAAGGTTATTAATGTGAAGGTTGGTCATAAAGCTACTTTTTCATCACTTTTGTAACTGTGAATAGTCATTAAATAAAGCAATCGCTAAACGAAGACTACCTGTATTTCTTAGTCATTTGTGATTTCTATAATACATGCTCAAACTTCTCTAAAATATGTCTTCAGTCCAAATTTCTGTCATGGTCTTTCTTTTTAAATTTTCCCTGAAATAAACTTTTGTTTTTAACATAGCTACAATAAGTTTAAAGCCTTCTAAACCCATTCAAAAATATATTTTGGACATATAATTTTCACGGGTTATTTTACTATTGTTATTGCCTTGAATATTGTTTTTCTAATTATTATTATAAGTGAGGAATTTTGTACCAACTTTCAATAAACAAAAGAGAAAATGATGGCCTAAAATATATGCAATAATTAGCTTCTTTGTAAAAACCTCCTACAGTTGTTGTTAACCCTGTATTTGTGATCCTCAGCTCCACTGTCACAAAACTCACTGGACTGTCAATTTCCAATACAAGACAACCTGCCAGCAAGTGTAAGTCACAAACATTACAAAGAATTTATTATGGAGTCTTGACTTTTTTGCTGTTTTCATTTTTTAAAATTACTTTTTGTTTGTCATCTAAACTCTTGAGTCCTCAAGGCAGTTTCCATATTTAATTCTAAACAGCCTAAAAAAACAATTAAACTACAAGTGACCATTCTATTAAAAATGACTAAAAACAAAAGCTGCCTAATAAGATAAGAAATAAGAATTGTCATTAAAGCCGACTGGGTAGATTTTTATCTTAGGCTCACTCTTCAAACTCAAATGATTTAAAAATGTGCTCCAATATGGGGATCTATCGAAGAGAAGGCCCTCAGTGAGGTTGGAATGAATTTTTGTGGAATTGTAGTCTTAATTTGCAATGAAATATTTATTGGAAGTTGTTGACATGCCCATAGGAGAAGAGAGTTTCAAGAAAGCTAGATTTCATCAAACATTTACTGGAATGGTACGTTTATTGTTCCTCTTTTGGAAGAATTCATCTATAATTTCTTATGTTAGAGGAATTTGAGAAAATCTTCTGCTAATAAGAAGCATGTCCTCAAGTTTTTGTTCTATTTGTCCTTTGAAAAACTAGCAAGGAATTGAGACTCTATATGTAACAGGTAGTCCTCGGCCTATAACCATCATTGAGCCTGGAATTATGGTCGTAAATTGAGCCAGTTGTTAAGTAGGTTGCCATGCGGCCATGCCTGATTGTACAAACTTTTTTTGCAGCGGTTGTTAAGCAAACATGGCAGTCGTAAAGAGAGCGCTGCAGTCATTAAACAAAATCATTGTCTGCAATGGTTTTTTTTTTTTTTTTTGCTGGAAACTGGAAGTAAACGTTGATTTGACAAATTGTGATCACCCGAACACAGGACATTGCAAACAGCTGTAAATGTGGGCTGATTGCCAAATGCTCAAAATGCAGTCATGTGACTGCAAGGGGTGGGGGAGGCTCTTGGAACTTTGAAACCAACTAATAAGCACCTTTTCTGGGGTCTGTTGTAAGTTTGAACTAAGCAGCTAATCAAAAGTCAAGGATTACCTGTATGCAATAGTCTACCATCCTTATTAACAATAACTGGTTCAGGTAGCCCTTGACGTATGACCACAATTGAGCCCAAAATTTATGTTGCTAAGTGAGACAATTCTTAAGTGGGTTTTGCCCCATTTTACGACTTTTCTTGCCACAGTTGTTACGTGAATCACTGCAACTGTTAAGTAAGTAGCACGGTTGCTAAGTAAATCTGGCTTCCCTATTGACTTTGCTCATCAAAAGGTTGCAAAAGGGGATCACATGACCCCCAGGACACTGCAACGGTCATAAATTTGAGTCAGTTCCGAAGCATCTAAATCTTGGGGGATGCTGTAACGGTCGTATGAAAAATGATCACAAGCCACTTTTTTCACTGCCATTGTACCTTCAAACGGTCGCTAAATGAACTGTCGTAAGCCGAGGACTACCTGTACACCCAAGCTGCATGTTTAGAAAAGTGCACTAACGGTGAAACAAATTACTTCCTTTGCATTCTTTATTTGCATTTGGCTTAATTTCTTTTACTTCTAGGCGCTTCTATTTGCTTAGAGCTAATAGCAATAATGACTGCCTTAAAAAGTGTAATAAAACATAAAATATAAAAATAATTAATTAACGGTAGCAAAGACCTAAAACAGGCTTCCCAAGAAGATATCACAAACAAAGAAACTTTCTTTGATTAAGTAAGGCTCATTCTAAATAGACACAGGTTAAAAGGCCTTTTAGGGAATGTTGCTTGGTGTAAAAAGATAACAAAATTGGCCTTCTGCTGGATTGTTCAGTTAGAGGAAGTACTATTGAAAAGTTCTTCTTTGCTCTAGGATGGTATTTGAAATGGCATCCAAAGCAAGTTGCTTTGGTGTAGAAAAATGGTCTTTTTGCAGCTTCTTTGAACTCTAAATTGCTTAAGGGGTGTTAATAAGGATACGACTCTCATTAGATTAGAAAGGATTCCACTTCTTTCCAAGAGCCAGATAATGTCTCCAATTTGAATTCAGTTCAGTTCAAAAAGACTGATGTTTGTCCTGACTGATGAATTTTTACATACCAGCGGAGTTGCCAAAACTTGGGCCATGTAATGCTCGAGACAAGGAATTTGTATCCTTAAAGAAAACACAGCTTCGCTCCATCGAGTTTAAAATTATTTTAAAGGCTACAAGCACTCCTATGGATTAGAGCCGAAGCACTCCGATTGAAAAAGAATCAAACAAGTTGACAAATTAGAATTTCTAATATTGTATATAAAAAAATACTAAAATTGTATTGGCAATTGTAACCTGACCGAAAAAAATGCTGCCTATTATTCTCTTGCAGCTGCCTGACTATTCAGCGGAAGCAAAATTCTTCTCTAGGGAGAAGAAATTGCATATAATCAGAACTATTTTTTTAAAAAAAATGCCTGAAATATTGTGGATGAAATTGTCCTGCAAGAGAAATGAACGAAATGGCCTTCTCCAAAAGCAATTGTTTTCCCAAGCTTTTGTTTAGTAATGCAGAGCATAAACCAAGCTAGGAAAAGCCTTAAAGAAGGCTGTGACCGGCCCCTGATTTGTAATGGCAATATTGTTTGTATCTGTTCAGCTCAGCTTCATCAGCTCCTTCTCCCAAGCAATCAGGCTAAAACTTATGTTTTCTAAATCAAGAATGAGAGGTGCATAGAGATCAATAGCCATAGGATGTATGTTTTTCAGAGTAGAGAAAGCCAAAGCCAAGAAAGGATGGAGATTTGTCTTTTATTTTTGATTTTTTTTTCTTTCTATCTCTCTGTTTCTTTTCCCTCTCCCTTCAAGTATTGATTCTCTCTCTCTCTCTCTCCCTCTCTCCCTCCCTCTCTCTCCCCCCCACTCTCTCTCATACACACACACACACACACACACACTTATTTGCTTCCATTCAGTTCAGCCCCCCCCATCAACCCATTGATTTCAGCCCCTTAAAACATAAATAATGGAATAGTAATTTCTGCTGTTTGTTTTTATTTGTTTTTGTTTGTTTATTTCCCGCCCTTATTTATTTATTTTTTTTACAAACAAGGTAGCAAACATCTCTAACACACCTTCCTCCTCCTATTTTTTTTATTAAGATTACTGGGGAAGGGCAAAGTTAATCCTTGTAAACATCCTAGCCCTATGCTACTAACAACATCCTGTTAGTATTGTTTCTGTGTCCAGTTGAATATTGAGCAGGGGAAAATGGTCAGGAATGCCCCAGACCCTGCAGTGTAAAAAAATTGCTTTCCCAAGCTCTAAATGAATGTTGACATGTTGGGTCAAGTTCTACATGTGGGTCACCTATGTCTCTTCCTAGCAATCACACAACATGAATGCCCTAACAGAGTTCTCCACCGCATATCTGATACCAGACAATGCATGTCATTTTCTTCATATGTACTCATGTATCCTTTTTCTTAGTCTTTTCAGAGCCTTCAAGGACTGTTCATGAAGATGGACAGTGAGCTAGAAGAGGCCAAGAAGAAGGTTCTGGTGAGGCTTCTGATTTGGAAGAGACAGCAGCAACTGGCTGGGAATGGAAGTCCATTTGATGAGGACTTGTCCCCACTGCAAAAGAGGTGAGTTGTGCAAAAAGAATGCACTGCATTTTGTCAGATGGTATATTATCGTTCTGAATACTGTCAGTGATTTAGCAACCCAACTTTTAATGCTGCTTAAAGAAGCAGCTGAATGCAAAATTCTCATGGCAATGTCTCTTATGGATCTACTTTCCCTGATAGAAATCTGTGGTTGATGTTACCATATCTAGAGGAGTTTAGTGGTGTTGATAGAAGTGTAGATCTTTACATTTGTTTGTCAGATCTTAGATACATCAAGTGGTCTACATATCAAGCAAAATAAAATTTCTAACCTCTATACAGTACTCAGCTCTACTCCATTTTTAGTGCTTGGTAAAAAGTGACTGCTATACCCCTTGAAAAGTTTTGCTTGACTCTTGGAACTTAGATAATCTTGGTTTGGATGAATGTGGGATTTCAGTCCCAGAGATAAATCTGTCATGTTTCTAACAGGTTGGAATGTCTAGTAGATATTTGGTTCCAGTTTCGCCAGCAGTTGATCACATCTGGAATTGAGCTTCAATCTCGTGTTCGAGAACATCTTGATGAGACATTCAAATCTCTTGTACAAAAGTAAGGAGAATCCCTGTCTGGAAGAGTTGTCTTTCTTTCCCACTGGCATCTCCTTTCACGCTATGACTGGTATGGGGATTATTGTCTGTGTTGTTTGGTGACTCTGAACCACGGATTATCAGCAAGAGAGGCTGAAGATATTTGGAGGAGATCATAAAGACATTCTATCAACTGTTTTTGGTGTAGGTTTTTAAAAGAGTTTTAATAGTTGAAATTAAGATTTCAGCCTAGCATCAAGTGCTTGGTTCTATCAACCTTTTGTTTCCTAGAGGTGAAATGTTAAAATAATATTTTGTGTACAAATGATATAAAGCCTTGACCCATGTCTCCAGTTTGTTGCATGTCAAAATCTTCCCATGATTGAGTATAGTTCCTCAACCTCAGGACTTTAAGATATGTGGACAGCATGCTAGCTGGGAAATTCTGGGAAGTGAAGTTCACACTTCTTAAAATTGATGGGGTTGAGAAACACTAATATAAACAAATTTTTTTTAGACATCTTCAACCTTGTTCTTGTTTTCTCATTTTCTCTCCATACTTCATTTTCCCAATCAACCCCCCCTTTTTTTTAGTTATTCACTTCTCTGAGGGAGGTTAAGAAATAGTTTTTAAAAAGCTAAAGAGGACATGGAGTTACTGTCTAAAAGAACACATACACACACACACACAGACATACACACACACACCTACACATACTTTTATATACACACACAGAGACACTTGCATGTCTCTGTGTAAAATAAGCTATTACTCTAATACTGTGTATTGGAGTTGTGAATGAACATCAAATTTCCCTGAGGAAATAACGTATTTTCCTGAGCTCTTAAATGTACTATATTTAGTTTTTGTATTGTTCTCTGAAGTTAAAAAAAACTCTTTTTTTTTGTTGAACCACACTTCTGTTATAGATTAAAACAGGCAAAAATAGCATAAATATCCAAAACCAAGTTAGTAACCCATTTCTTGATCAAAGTTTGTAGAGTACTAGGAAACCTCACTTTTCCAGAAATGTGTAAAATGGACTTCATAATCAATAGCCCAAATTTCCCTGCATACATACTGTACATGCATTCATACATACATACATATATTTATATATATATATGATGATCTTATCATGCTAATGACATAAGTATCTGCAGTGACATTCTCTCCAGTTTCATGGACATGATATGATCATCCTTCATCTTCCCCCAGTTGCTAATTATAAAACAAAATTTAAAACAAGATTTCACTGTACTTGCAAAGTTTATTTTATATGTATGCACGTAGGAATAAATCTAGCTGTCCATTTCAGATTGCTCAGGCAGCTTCACATGCCTTCACTTTTTCTATCTTTCTAACTGATATGTCTTTAATTGTTTATATCTTATATTGATAGCTATGTTAGAGCTAATAAATTATGATTATTTTCTCTCTCAACGTGTAAAATATTCTAACATCATGTGTCTTCATCATTTCCCGAGATACGTGGAGGAAATCATGCTCCCAGTATCATGAATATTTGTGTATATTAGTCATTGAACTTTTTTTTTAGATCTGCTTAATTAATAGTCCAAGTTTCTGACCTGTGACCAAAGATATTTTCTTGGAACTTTCTTTTTGATATACTAATATTCATATCCTAATAATGTAGGCCGTGTGTGACTGGCAATTTTCTGTGACTTTCACGATCTGATAAAAAACTAAGAGCAGAAAATCATTTGTTTGCATTGTTTCACTTTTATTCGCATACCTTGACAAAAAAACAAACATTCATTCTACAACTATTTTTGACTTCCCAATCATTTTCTGTGGCAGAACCAGCAAAGTGATTTACAACTAAAGTTGCCAGCCCCTCTTCTGCCTCCTTCTCCCTATTTCAAGGCACTGCCAATTGCAATTCTAACTATAAATAGCACTTAGACTTACATACCGCTTCACAGTGCTTTACAGCCCTCTGTAATTGGTTTACAGAATCAGCCTATTGCCCCCCAACAGTCTGGGTTCTCATTTTACTGACTTTGAAAGGATGGAAGGCTGATTAAACCTGGAGCCCTGTTAGGATCGAGCTCCAGGCTGTGAGCAGAGTTAGCCTGCGATACTGCATTCTAACCACTGCGCCAGCAACATTCCTAAAGTAACTGAACTGTTTTGTCCGTACTTTTGAAAATGATGAAGCTTAAGTTTTCTTCCTTGAATATTTATTTTTATTTATTTGTATCCCGCCTTTAGTTTTACAAATAACTCAAGATGGCGAACATATCCAACACACCTCATCCTCCTGTTTTCCCCACAACAATCCTGTGAGGTAGAATGGGCTGGGAGAGAGTGACTGACCCAAATACACCCAGTTGGTTTTTCATGGCTATGGTAGGACTAGAACTCACAGTCTCCCGTAATTTATATATATAAATTACAAGCAGGAGCTGGAGTTTACTCTTTTGGGCAGGTGGTCCTCTACTTATACCCAGAATTGTACCTAGAATTATGGTTGTTAAGTCATGGCAACTGTTAAATAAAAGTGATGGACATTAAGCAAGCATGGCATTCCTTAAGCAAGCCCATTGTACCTAATGGGTGTTTTTTGCTGAAAATCAGAAGTAAACACTGGTTTCCAGCAAAACTATCACAAATGATATAACTGCAGGACTCTGCAAATGGCTATAAACTTGGATTGGTTGCCAAGCACCCAAAATGCAATCATGTGCTTGCGGAAGGGGCAGCCATTGGATCTTCAAAACCGGGTTGTAAGTAGTTCTGGGGAGATCCATCGTAGATTCAAACTGTCATTAAGCGACTAGTTGTAAGTTGAGGACTACCTGTAAACTCTTTCTTTCCAATGAACTTAAATGTAAACATTAATTAAACATTCATGCTAATTATCCCAACACCAGAGTGAGCATTCCAAAGGGTGGGAACATGGGGGGAAAATGGTGATAAGATTTGCCCTTTTACCCAGCTTCCTTGTGAGTTGAATTCTGGAAATCTTCTCTGCTATTTGCACTATTTATGCTCACTTAGCTGTTCAGGGTACTATTTCCTTGAAGGCTAGAAAACAAGGGGAAGCCAAAATAACATTGTAAACATAGTAGCAGACACAGTCATGTGATTTTATAATTAGTGACAACTTTGCTTAAAGACCAAGTTGTTGCTCCCAATTGTGGTTGCTAAGGGAGGACTTCCTGTAAAGTACAGTCAGATTTACAGGATTATCATTGGCCCCACTGCATTGAACCTGCCAAGAAATTATCCATACAAAGACTAAAACTACATTAATATTGGTTATTATTATACACACAACAATGTGCAATTGCACTTGCCAGTTCTTTAGCTGGTGTTGGCCCTCAAACGCATCAAGTTCTTCCCAAGAACTAGGATGTCATAATGTTTTGTTGTAGTATATGTGTGGATCCAAACAGTGTGGTCTTTTGTAATTGAAAAATGGAAATTTTATCGGCGTGCAGGTTTTCTAATTGCCATCCAAGACTTTTTGGCATTGTACCCAAGGTGGTGATAACCACCACAGTCAGTTCATGCCATAATCTTTCAACTTTGATTTTCAGAGCTTGATACCTTGTGAGTCTTTGTCTTCTCTTCTGTTATCCCCTGATATTGTCACTTTAAATTATCCACGCATTCTTTTTTTCAACCACAAATCTGGTGTAATATGCCAAGACTTTATCAGTTTGTACTTGGAAATCTCACAATATTTTATCTTGCTCATTTTTGGCAACTTATGTGTTTCCATAAATTTTTTATTACTGGCATATGATAATTTATACAGATTTCCAGTGAATTTTATATTGGCACTATGCTATGTTGTTGTTTATAAGTTTCTGCAGTCTCCTTGCACAAGCTGAATATATAATCTACTATTTCTTCTGTATCTTTGCACAATCTGCACTTTGAGATGACTTTGTTTGGTTTGTTTAAAGTAGAGAGATAAAAGAACAAAAACTAATAACACAGAAAAAGTCAAAAGCGTGAGAAAGAAAAAGACATACAAAGACTTCCGTTTTTCTTCTACAGCAAGTATAAGTACAAATTTACATAGACCTCTTACTCTTAAGTTTGCAACATAACTTTCATTTTTCTATTATTTTTTCTAATCACCAGATCCTTATATCATAATTTCATTTGTTTGCATTTCATGCAAAAAATCCCAAAGCATCTTCCAATCAGCACTGAAATTAATTATTTTCTTTAACCAAAGCTGTCAATTTTGCCATCTCAGCCAACTCCATCAACTTCACCACCCATTCTTCCATTCTAGATAATGTCAGATCCATTCTAGGTAATGTGCGTATAAAAGTCTTGCCACTGTTGTCAAATATGGGAAAAAAACTTCCTTGAGTGTGTGCTCAGCTGTTTGACCATCAGTCCCAAGAGGAACATTTTGTTTCAGTTATAGATCAGTTTTTAAACTTATCTAAATCAATGTGTGTATTTGAATCTAGAGCAGTGGTTCTCAACCTGTGAGTCGGGACCCCATTTGGGGTCGAACGACCATTTCACAGGGATCGCCAAACAATGCAGTCAGCCATTTTTTTCCCCTTTTCCTTAGCTGTGCTACTCCCTTTTATTCTACTGGCTTTTGAAAGCCAATAGAATTAGACTCTCTTGAGTAGAGTCTAATTCTATTGGCTTTCAAAAGCCAATAGGAATTGTCCAGGCTGTGTCTGCCCTGCTGAGCCCGCCAAAAGTCCCATTTTGCAAACGGTGCTGCACCAGTTGAGTAGTCCTCGACTTACGACCGGCTGAATAGTCCTCAACTTACGACCGGTTGGGAGTCGCGGCATTAAAAAGGTTGAGAACCACTGATCTAGAGGTTTTGGGTTTTTTAAAATGCTCATCGAACTTCCAACAGGAAACATGGTTGAATGCATATTATCACATAATGCTTCCCCTCCCAAAGAGAACCCAGTTGCTCTTTCCATCCTAGAAGACAGATTTTTTTCCCCTGCCCGCTGTCTTTATGAATATTGGACAGGGAAAGGAGTAGGGCAGTGGTGGCAAACCTATGGCATGCATGCCAGAGGTGGCACTCGGAGCCCTCTCTGTGGGCATGTGCGCCATCGCCCCAGCCCCGCCTCTCCCCATCGCCCCCTCCTCACCAGCAGCCCCCCTGGAGGAGAGTTGTCCCCAGGCTCGGCCTGCGCGGAGTAGTGCAGCCAAGAACATGGTAGCTGGGCAGCAGGGACAAGATTCCGCCCTCATACCCTTTTGCATGCAGATGCTGCTGTGAGCAGGCGGGGGGGTGAGTGGAGCAGGGGGTGGCAGGGGGCGGGGTGGTTTTGGGGCACTCGGCCTCTAAAAGATTCGCCATCACTGGGATAGGGTGAATATTGAAACCTGTTGCTGCTGTTCTCAGAACCAACTCTTCTCATGCTTGAACCTGGCTTGTGTTTCCCCTCCAGTTCCTTCTTGGTGGAAAAACAGCCTCCACAAGTTTTAAAGACACAGACCAAATTTCAAGCCAGCGTCCGCTTCTTGCTGGGACCTCATTTACTCAAGCATCCGCCAACATCATTTCTGGTCACGGCTGACATTGTGACGGAAAAACAGGCCCGAGAACTGACTGCCAATCATTCTCCCTCTGTCTTTAGGTGAGAGACATGGTTGCAACCTCAGTGTCTCCCTGCTGATGGCTTTGTTTCCAAGTTTCTTAAAAAAAAATGTATTTGGGGTGAGAAGAGGATCAGGGCATAGATTCTTAAACACAGATCTTAACGTAGAGTGAGAAAATTTCACACGAACCGTTCACAGGAATTGCTTTTAAATACACTTTCAGGGTTCCACATATGAACTATTTCCCTCTTTTCATGTTCTCTTAACGAGAAAGAAGAGCTGCCAAAATGAGGAATGATTTATCTCATGTAGCTAGTGAACATCTGTAGTAACTTACCGAAGGTGGAGAGGACGAAGTACCTAAAATGAATAAAGTTCATCTTCAACTCAAATGATATCTAGATAAGAGAAATGTATCACAATATTGCCCAGAGAAGTTTTGAAGTTATTCTTAATAATATGGTAAAAGATAGATTTATAGGTATATGAAAACACTGAGTGCAGGAGGGAAAATTAGTAGCTTTAATTTTGTGCACCTGCCTATTAGTCTCCAATTTAAAAAGCAGTCATTCTGTTATTTCTTGACAACATAATGGGGTGGCCTGTTTCCTCTCCTCAAAACTAATGTTTCAAAATGAAATATTTTAAAAAAACAAAAATAGCTTCAGTCTTTATCTATAGGAGAGTTGTTTTCACTATAGCACATAAACAAACTTTGGAGTGGGAACTCTCTCTACAAAAGTTGAGTTTGTCACACTTCCTGGTAGTAGAGGAACCAGCTCATGATCTCGGTTTTTCTTTCGATTTCAGTGAAAGCACTGGAGAGATTGTAAACAACACAGCATCGCTGGATATAAATGCCTCCAGCAATTCTTGTACCTCTCAGTTCAAGAATTTGGTAAGTGGAATGAGAAAAAGTGAGTGGGAGAGAATTCAAACACCCTAACTGGTGAAATGGGCTGTAAATTGGGATGAAGCCGGTGGGAAGCAACTTACCCAAAAATTGCAGAGAAAGCAAAATTGGAGGAGGGGGCATGGTGGTGTTGGTCATCTCGGTCATTATGCATATGTATGTAAGCTCAAATCAGTTTACAAGAAATCCCCAGAAGCAACTCACATTCAAACCATGGCCAGTATTGCACCATGATTAACTTTAGAAACGTGGCAGTGTAAGGGGGTCTTGAACCATCATTTGGGCTGATGTAGCTCAGGTCTGATTCATACTTGCACCATGACAAGATGCTGGAAGTGTTAGGAAATGGTAGGAAAGAATATATATTTTTAGATACGTTCCCATCTAGATAACAGTAAGAGGAAATGGATGCAGCAGGGAGAACATTTCTAATCCAAGTGTCTTCCTTCTAGTAAGGGAACTTTTTAAAAAATGATTTCCCTCACCTTCAGGACTGTTGCTTTTTTTTTTTTTTTAATCCTCATCTCATTGTATTTCATGTGTGGACAAACAGCTGTTGCTGTATCAATCAAAAAGCGCCTGCAGCTTTTCTATGTTGCCCAGCTTAATGGAAGGTTACAAATGTAGATCAAAGACACCAGGATCCTCTATAAAATCCCATGAATGAGTGCGTGTCCCTTTGGGCTGCACAGTGCCCAGATTAAAAAAAAAAGAAAGGGTGATTTGGTGTGCTCAAAAGATGTCCATGTAGTGCACATTGGCCTCTCCTTAGTCCAATATATCTTTTCCTAAAATTGTGCAGTAGCTGTGCAAGCCCAGGGAAAAGTATGGCTCCTTTTAAGGAGTCACTGAGAGATGTAGTAGAAGTGTCCCGTTGCTGGGAATCGCCTTTTCTCCTTCAAACCCAAATGGTTGCTCAGCCCTACAAGAGATGCTTTGCTTAGAAGCAAGCTTGACGAGTTTTGTCATTCAAGAAGGTCGTGGGGGGAGGGGTGTCAACTAATTATAAGCCGGGAGCTAAGATTTGGAACAGATTTTCCCATGCGATTTGCCTTTTCTCATCTTCAGCTTCTCAAAAAGATCAAGCGTTGTGACCGCAAGAGCACAGAATCTGTAACAGAAGAGAAGTGTGCCGTCCTCTTCAGTGCCAATGTTTGCCTTGGGCCCAACCAAACCAACTTCCACCTACAGGTAGCAACGCCATGCGGGGGCTGTTTTATTATTAGCCCTGGAGATATATAAAGTGCTGCTGATACTGGTTTATTGCTGCCTTGAGAGGAGGACACAAATAGGTTAGGCAAAGCCTTGAAAAGAACCCAGTGACCAGTTCACTGGCCTTCACTGTCTCCTCTCTTCCGTCTTGAGCAGTTTGGCACCAGAGATATAAGCGGGATGCAAATTTCTAGGTCTGGCAACAAGGTTTTGCAGCGCCCTTTTGGGAGGAATAATTGGACGCACATGAGAAGAAACATTAAAAAAAATGGGGCGGTATCATGATTGGTTCTTTATCCATGCAAATTTCCTTCTCTTGCCCCAGGTTTCCTTCAGTAGAACTTGGCAAGAATTCTGTTTCGAATAATAGTGTCATTAATCAGGCATTAAGCCCCAGATTCCAACAACAGACAGATAGTTGGTTGTCAGCCCAAGTGGGCCAGACATTTGTATTAGGCTCAAACAGATAAAAATCAAATCTTTAACGGAATGAGAGAGACTTAAGTAAGAAATTGAAGCCTTTAAAAATATATGTGGGCTTCACAGGATCTAATATAGTATATGTCTATATTGCACCATCTTTTCCATCTTGTAATGAATTGAGCTTCGTTACAAGATCCTTAGGTCTGATTGGAATACCTTGCTTTTCTGAGAAGATCAAGAGTTATGGAAGTTGAAATGAGTAGAGAAAGTTGGGAAAAATTGTCAATTTGCCAGGATCCTATCCTAAACCCTTTCGTTCAATATGTTACAGTAAGGGAAGGCTTCGGGTAGCTGTCCTTCTCCGTGCAGTCATTTCTTGCCCTGCAGTCTGCCCTAAAAGTGGTTTAGACTGGCTTGAATCCTGCACAAAGTCACTCCTGCTGAGAGTTCAGAATAGATCTTGCTACATAGATCTATGTAGATCTATGATAGTGGGTGCGAATGATAGTGGGTACTCCTCGATACACCCACGTTACACCTATCCTCCGTGAGCTGCACTGGTTGCCTATTGGTCTCCGGGTCCAATTCAAGGTGTTGGTTATTACCTTTAAAGCCCTATATGGCTCAGGGCCAGGCTATTTGCGAGACTGCCTACTACCTCATAGTTCCCTTCGTCCGGTTAGATCCCACAGGCTGGGCCTCCTTCAGGTCCCGTTGGCCAAGCAGTGCCATTTGGCGGGGCCGTGGAGGAGGGCTTTCTCTGTGATGGCGCCCACGTCTTGGAACCAGCTCCCCCCGGAGATTAGGACCGCTCCCACCCTGTTGGTTTTCCGCAAGCTGCTTAAGACCTGGCTTTTCCGGCAGGCCTGGGGTTTATAAAATCTGACCCCTGGATGAATGTTACTGTATTGTTTGTCTTGTTAAGTTATATTGTGTTTTTATTGTTAGCCGCCCAGAGTCCTGCGGGAGTGGGGCGGTTTATAAATTTTAAAAATAAAATAAAATAATAATAAATAAATCTACTTTGGGGTTCTAAGCTGATCAGTCAGAGAGAAATACGAAGACAGCAGGCCAGCTTTAAAGAAAATCATCATTTGTTAATTACAACTCTTTCTTCCCTTTTGCCATTCTAGGCTCTGTCGCTGCCCGTTGTGGTGATTGTCCATGGAAATCAGGACAACAATGCCAAAGCCACCATCTTATGGGACAATGCTTTTGCTGCTCCTGTAAGTGACAGATGCAGATTAAGACTGCGAGTCATTAGGGGAAGAAGTTAATGCAGACATTTAATTGTCAAAAAGTGTGAATTTCCCCCCCACACACACTTATCTTAGGGGAAGGATTTGAACCTGTGAGCTTCCAGAAATCTAAGCCAGCTTGTAAAAAAAAAAAAGGATGCTAGGAGCAACCTCTCTTTTTTCTTTTTCTTTTTAATTTTTTAATCAACCTCTCTCTGCCCACAGATTCCCCATCTCCAGCCTAGAACCCGTCCCTAATACCTATCATACCAATAGGAGAGGATCTGGTGGGACAGTTCAGTTCAGGGTTAAATTCTTACTCAGTCGTGAAAATCACTGGAAGAGTTTAGAAGGGCAAAGATTGGGGAAAATCATGGACATGGCCAAAAATTCTCAAAGGAAAGTAAGATATAAACTAAAACTAATTTTGCCATTTGTAAAATCTGAAGAACCTGAGGCCAATGTAGAGTGGCCTCTCACTCCACCATTATGCCAGTTTCTGGAAAGGAAAAATTGTCATAATAAACTTTCTCCATGGGGCCCAACAGCTTTTCGTATTTCAGGCAGAACTGTAACATGGAAACCTAATAATAGCTCCATTGGTATAAACTGGCTAACACATACTGGTAAGGTAGTAAGAAAACCAAGGTAAGATTTAGAGTTTCTGTTCTTAGTGAAGGTTATTTTTTAGTACCAGATCTGCTTTTGGGGAAAACATAGGATACGGAGTACTGTTATCTGCTACAGCTGGAGTGTGTGTGATGCTCTGTCTCTTATTCTGTTCCAGGATCGCGTTCCCTTTGTGGTGGCTGAGCGTGTTAGCTGGAAGGCAATGTGTGACACTCTCAACCAGAAGTTCCTTGCTGAGGTGCAAACTACAAAAGGTCTACTCAAGGATCATTATTTCTTCTTGGCCCAGAAGATCTTTGGTGACAACATCACCAGTCTAGAGGAACTACAGAGATGCCATGTGTCCTGGTCCCAATTCAATAAGGTCTTTTGATGGGCTTTGTCAGAAGGGTGATACGATAGCTTCTTGAGCTTATCTGAATAGTGTCATCTGCTTCTCACACTCACCTTGTAACTTATAGGAGATGCTTCCTGGTAGAGGATTCACATTTTGGCAATGGTTTGAAGGCATTCTTGACCTCACCAAGAAATACCTGAAGAACTATTGGTCTGACAGGTAAGAAAATAAATGGATCAAACCAGGATGCATTAGATAATTCAGTTTGGTGCAGTGGTTGAAGTGCTGAACTAGGAATGAGGAGATTGAGTTCTAGTCCTGCCCTAGGCATGAAAGCCGGCTGGGTGACTCTGGACTAGTCACTATGCCTCAGCCTAAACTTTCCTAGCATTTTTGTTGTGGGGAAAAAAGAAAGGAGGAGCATTATGTAGACCAGTCAAAGTGTTGGCTTCCGTAGGTTTAATCCTGTTAAACAAATGTAATTAGTTTTACCTCCTTATCTTGAGTCTCCCCTCCTCCTTTTCTCTTTGGTTCACCTCCAGCTATGCGCTGCTTCTGGAAGCACCAATCAGCTGGAACGCTGTGGCGCTTCTGGGGCTTCTTTCGAACCCCAACAATCCTGCAGCTCCAGCTGTCTCTCCCTCAGGCTTGGGTCGCTTCAGCTCATTCTCCTCCCCCGCTACACTTGTCTAGGAGGGTCGCATACCACCTGCCACATGCCAAAATACCACTGGTGGTACGCATACTCACCGGTTGAAAAGCCCTGATGCAGACAAGCTTGAGTTGTAAAAGATAAAGGTTGGGTATAAAAAAAATAGTCATTATAAAACTGAATTAGGAATGAAAGCCTGAAAACGTAATTAGTTTTCCTTCCAATTTTTTTCAGTATAAGAAAGCATATTTATTGACCAGGTCATTTGAGTCTTGATACTAGCCCATACTGATACTCACCGAATAAGAAATGTTCAGCTAGTTTTTTTTTTTTTCCAATTTCACAATCAGAGCGGGTGCAATTTTTTTTCTTTTAACCGTTACTACAATTCTCTAAGTCCTGCAGTGTTGATTATTGATTTTCTCCTCTGTTTTTTTTCTCTATCTGTCAATGTTGTTCGTGCAGACTGATTATGGGCTTTGTCAGCAAGCAATATGTCTTCAATTACCTGAGCAATGCACCAGCTGGGACTTTCCTCTTACGTTTCAGTGACTCTGAGATCGGGGGCATCAGCATCGCCTATGTTAACTACTTCCCAGATGGTATGCCTTTGCATAGGACAGCCCCAAATTCACAGAGCTTAAAGCAGAGGAAAATAGGTTTTTCTGTCTCTTCGTCACTTTGATGAAATCCTTTTAACTTTTACTTGGAAGTCAGCATTGTTGAAGAGGAGTATAATTTTATTATATTTATATTCCACCCCACTGCAAGCGATTCTGGGCAATTTATAATGGTTAAAACTTTTAATAACCAAAGGGCAATATAAAAACAGTACAAGACAAAAGAACAGCAATGGCAAAGAAATCAAACCCAGAAGGGGACAGAAAGAAAGAATGGAGCTCTCCTGAGGTTGGGCAAAGAGTCAGCTCTTTAAGGCCCTTCGAAACACCAGTGGGACCATTTACATTTCAGGGGGAACTTCATTCCCAACCGCAGGCACTGCTGCAGAGAGGGCACACTTCCGGAGTCCCAATAGGTGGCAATGTTTAATTGACAGAGCCCAGAGTGCACCAACTCTGTCAGATTGAACCTGTTGAGGAGATACTATGGGAGACAGGTGGTCCCTCAAATAACTAGGCTCTATGTCATGTGGGGCTTAATAGATAGCAACCAGCACCTTGAATTACGCGCCAAAGCAAACTGGCCACCAGTGCAGTTCACATAAAGCAGAGGTGTTACGTGGGCACATTGTGGCAAACCCATCACTGCCCACGAGATTGCATTCTGGAGGAGCTGAAGTTTTCAAGTGATCTTCAAGAGCAGCCCCATGTAGACAACATTGCAGTAGTCAAGCTGTGAAATGATCGGGCATAAGTGACTGACTGAAGGACACCCTCCCCCCAATTTAGGAAAAGGCACAGATGAAATTGGGCAAAAGCCTTCCAGCTGCCACCTGCTTCAGTGAGCAGGAAGACCTCCAAATTATGTACTATCCTTGGTGAAATTCTGTACAAAGTCAAAGTTGGAATATCCCCAGATCTGGGTGATCCAAACACTCATGGTCATTTGGTCTTGGTAGGACAGCTCCTCCCAATCCAAACCCAGATGTCCTCTAGGCACTGGGACAGAACCTTGACAGCTTCACTTGGCCAGCCTGGAGTCAAAAGGTATAATTGGGTACCATCGGCATACTGATGATACTGAACCCCAAAATGGCGGTTCACTCAGTAATTTCATACAGTGTTGAAAAGGAGGGGAGAGAATAGAACCCTGTGACACACCACAAGTGAGGGGCTTAAGAGAAAGTCTCTTCCCACCTACCAACTCCCACTGGAACCAGCCCCAGAGAACAAAAGAGAGCCGCTATAAAATGCCTCCAACTCAAGTCAGCTGAGAAGGATACTGTGATCAGTGATCTATGGAATCAAAAGCCACTGAGACCACCATCCCAGCTCTGCCAGAGATCAACAAGCTATGATTAGGAATAATACCCTAATCAACTTAGTAAGACTGTGGAAACTTCCCTTCTCCTTCACAGCTCTAAACGAGCAGGATTGGAAGGGAAGAATTGATCCCACTGATCTGAAAGGGCAAGGAATTAACTAATTTACATTCTAGCTCTCTGCCAACCTTTGGTTGGAAGAATTGCAGAGGTCGTGATGCCTGATCAGTTTCTGAACTCAGGTCATTCGTTCCTATTGTTGAGGTTTGGCCATTCTCCCCAGGGCATTGTGCAGGATGGGTGTGGTTATTCGTGCAAAGCAGCATTGCTGGAACTGGGTGTTGTTGAAACTCAGTACATCAGCATGAACATTACAATGCTGGGTCAAATTATCTACCCGGTATTATTCTACTTCTCTAATGAGCAGCAGTATTTGTTAGGGGTTTCATGTGAAATCTTTCATGTTGCTATCATGAAGCAGTTTCTGCTTCCACCATTTTATAGTAGCTTTCTTGAGTTTTCATGTATGTACAGTATATATATAGTGAGGAGACAGTATGTACTGTATGTATATGTATATGTATGTGTATATATATATATATGCAGGAAGTTTTTTTCAGACAGATGTCTAATTGATTACACCTTGACATTTTTTTTTAACTGCTATACTGCAGTTTTACTTTTTACAATCTCTTTTGCCTTGCAACCCCCAACTAGGGGCGTTAAGCAGGCTCAAGTCGCAACTGCAAAACATTACAAATCCAAATTTCTTTTTCTGACAAAGAATTAAAGAATTAAATTGGGAGACTAAGATGGCCATTTCGAGCTCATTCTGCTCTCTTCAGTTAGCCACACCCTTTATGGGATTCAAACCTGGGCAGTTTACATACTAGGCAGTGATTTAACCACCAAGCCACAGGCTCTCCTCCCTCTTTGCCAGCTGAGTCAAGGGAGTATATGCAGGAAGTTTTTTTCAGACAGATGTTTAATTGATTACACCTTGACACACGACTTGCAATTTGCCATCAAGCAGAACTCACCAGCAAGGTTTGACCACAGCTGTGCATACTCAGCACAAAGAGGATTTAAGACTCACAGGAACACTGTTATCTTACCAGAAGCAACTCCGGCATCTGACTTGTGTATCATGATTCTTGGAATCTAATTATTTATGGCCATGCCTTGTTGACTAACCACAACCTCATCTCTCCCTTGGTTTGCTGTTGTAAATTTGACTAGACTTTGGACTGCTCTACTTGGAAATTTGCCTTGCCCAATTAAGTTCTTATCATCAATTAACCACTGTTTCCTTGCTGTTGGGATTTGCAGAAGCAAGTCTTTCCCTTAACATGCCAAGTGTCTGGCTTGTGAAGGAGTGCTAAAAAAGCCAGCATGGGAAAATTGGACAGTTTCCCATGATTCACATGCACATCCTAGCATGGCAACAAGGGAGGCCCGATCACTGGTCCACCAGTTTGGAGATCATGTGGGCTGGAATTACTGCAGCAGGAAAGTTGGCAGTTGGAATGTGCTGGTTCTCCAGTAGGAAAGAACATATAGTATTGTGGTGAAGAACAGGAGTACAGTCAAGTGTTGGTGCAAGTATTTGACCTACCCAAGTTCTGCAGCTGCCTGGGCATTGACCTCTTGCATCTACAGCCAAAGCATTGCTTGTTCAGGCAACTACCAGGATCACCTATTGAATTATCGGCTAGTCTGCCTGTTGGACCATTGGACTTTAGTTCTTGCCCTGCATTGAAGATTGGAGATTGGATACATACTGCAAGATAATAGTGTGTCAGTTCAAACTCCCTTGGAGTTGGAGATTAGCCAGAGGAAGATGAAATGCATGTGTGGGAGGTAATGAGTTAAGCTGGAGAAGACTACAACAGTTAGAAATGCAGTGCAGCTGTTGAGTACAGCAGACAAAATTGGTGTAAGAATACTACTGACTGATGGCTAAGTTGCTTGACTGCTGAGTGGTTGGTTTCATCTGATGGAACGTGGGAAAGGGATGGCAGATGATGGACAGAGCATTTAATGGTAATATCCAGGTCATAATGGCCAAGGGACTGTATGATTGGAATGCAGGAGCAGGCCGCTCGATGGGAAGGTGGAGTAAAGTCATTCTGCCTTCCAGCCACAAGTATTAAGTCCCGATGCTAGGTTAACAAATCCTTGATGGCCTTGGCCTCTGATTGCTGCTGCTGCTAAATGTCAGGCCAGTCTGTAATAAACAGTGTGTGATCTTATTGTGCATGTAGTGGCCAAGACTGACTTGGGTTGGCCCAAAAGGGGATGCTCCTCTTCAGAGTTGTGCTCACCTGGGTATCAAATATGGTAGTCATGACCCCAGAATGGAGGATTGAGGTAGCTGCTGTTCAGAAGGCACCATTCCCTTAGCAGCTTTCAAGGGCACTGTCCTGAAGGTCACTGGATGTGAGGCTGAAGTGGGGCTGCAGAGAAAATTTGCCTCTGTTGCTGCTGTACTAGCCATTCCTGCCGGAGCTGCTCAATTCTATTGCTGGATTAGTGGTAGAATATTTGAGACTAATAGCTCTAATGTGCTCTCATGTGACAGAAAGTCACAAGAGCAACTCAGGAGTTCAGGGCCATCCTGACATTCATGGACCTGTCCCAGATCATTCAGGCCTGATACCCAGAGCAGTCATATGTTAGATCAGGATTTGTCTTGGGGCAGTTGCAATGTGATCTGAAGGTGGAGGACATTACCATCAATCCTTTGTCATGGTCAGATCAGTTTTTCGTTGCTTTTAAACTCACTGGTGCTACCCCCTCCCAGGCATCCAATGGACCTGGATGGATTTTAGAGGAATTTGGTTTCTTTCCTGAGGAACTGGTGAGCAATTTCCCCATCTGGAATGGATGGAAGTCAGTGGCCTTAGGTCAGATTGTTTCTGTGTGTTTCTCTATGTTCATTGATCTTGGGGGTTTTACTGGTTTTCTGGAGTTCTGGAAGTAAAATGACACAAGAGACTCCTAGAGGAAAGACAAAGTTTGAATTATGAGCCCAAATTAGGGATTACATCATAAGTGATAAAAGTGGTAAAATGTATTTTCTCCTCTCATCAACCTTTTAAAAATGACCCATTCCCTGTTGGGAAAGAAAGGGTCCCAAGAACATATTCAAGACTCTGTGAGAAATACTTTAGGCATATGACGGATAAAGCTACTGGGGGTTCACTTAGAATTAGATTCCAACTGGGTAACTAGTGAATGAGATGATCTTGTCCTGTTGCCTGGAAAGTATTTGCTCCTGTAAATACAGAGTCATTGAGATGGCTAACATGGACACCTGTCTTGTAGATCCTTGTTGTCCCTGGCTAATGAAGGCTCCCTTGGGGGGTGATATGTAGTTGGGAACACATGGTAAATGCAACCTTATATGAATGGATGGGTCCGCCTGCCTTGAAGGAGTTAGGTGCATCTCCTCCTCAATAAGTTGTAAAACTGGATCTGGGCAATTTTGGGCCAATCTCCAATTTCCCCTTTCCAGAGAAAGTAACTGAGAAGGTGACCAGGTTACAGCTTGAGAGGGTCCTGGAGTAAATGGATCATCTGGCCAGGTATAGAATGGACACATCACTGATCCTACAAGTTGATGATTTTGGCAAAGCCAGCATGGAGGTGTTGCGACTGTTCTGATTTTCCCAATTTTCTTTGGATACCATCAGTCATGATATCCTTCTGGATTAACCGTAGGGATTCAAAGTGGGATGCATTGTGTTGTAGCGGTTCTCCTTTCTCCACTGCCAGTTCCAGTTGGTGTTGATGTGAAAGAGACTTTGAGCCTGAGTTCCCTGATCTCAGCCCTCCTGTTTAAAATCTACATGAAGCCACTGGGTGTCATATTCATTGACGTGGGGTGTAGTACCACGAGTATGCTAATGATACCCTGCTAGGGTATCTCGATCCCAAGTCAACTAAGCGATGCTGTCAAGATCTAGTCTTAGTACTGTTGAGATCGAAAAGGGAGGAACAGATGTAAGCTTAATTCAATTTGCATGCTGCCCATAAATTCAAATAATCAATTATAAATAGAATTTGAAGTCCCACCCAAAGGCCTGATTTACTGAGAAGCCTGATAACAAGCAAATTCAGCACATCTAGAAGGTGGGGGTGGCTGCTCTGGATCATAGGTGTACATTTTTTGTGTGCGATGGGCTGACATTTTCATTTCTTTACGGGCTGTTTTCTTTTGTCTCAGGTTCCACTCAGGTGGAGAACATCCAGCCATTCACAGCAAAGCAACTGTCCATTCGTTCACTGGCTGACTGTGTTCTGGATCTCCCACAGCTCCATGTGCTTTATCCTAACAGGCCCAAACACGAGGCTTTCAGGAGGGACTACAACAGTGAGTGGTGGGGAGAAGGGCAGGGGGGAAGATACAGACAGAAGGAGCTCAATATTTTACAATGCTCCCTTTCCTCAAGAGAGTTCTTTATCTCCTGTTCCCAGCAGGGGCAGAATTTAACATTAGCTTAATATGCACATTGGCAGCTTAATATTGTGTAATGCTGGTCTTAGCTCAATAAAACTACTAAAATATAGTAGAAAATGTATATTTTGACAGAGCATATATTATAACTCTGCATGCAGGGGAGAATTTTGGCAAAGGTGTTTATAAATCACAAAATAATGTGAAAGTGGGACTTATAATAAACACCTATAAAATGGCATAGACCTGCTCAGGGTTGATTTGCTTATCCATATCTGATGGCTCTCTTCAGTTCTATTTAAGAGCAAACTTTCAGTAAATCCATGAGTTGTTTTCACACATAAACTTGCATAGTTTAAGTGACAGTGTCATGACATATAATCAAACAAAAGGTGTGTCTGCAGAGCTGTTGATGTCAAGCAGAGCTTTCGCTATATGTCAGTCAAAAAATGTGAAGATCATTTCTATAGATAAAGCGGTACTTTTTTTTTTTTAATGACTCAGAACCTGCTTGGGAATTCTAAAGATAAGACAGAAGATAATCTCCATTTAATATTTGAATGGCAGCTTATAAGCTGATCATAAGCCGAATTGCTGCCTGGACCATTTCCAGCATCCTTCTCTGAGAATTCCTGAGAATCATTGAATACACCAAACCCCAAACAATTAGCTCATCCCTATTTGGGACTCTACTTTTCTGTAACTGATAAGCTGGAAGATACCAGGCTGGGAACTGCTGCTATAGAGGGAAGCAACTTCTGCTTTAGGGCTTCCTCTTGTTACAAAATCTCCTTGAAATTTCTTTCCGTACAAAAAATATGAACCAGTTTGTGTGCTGAGAAGCTAAAAATGTGGTTGTTTCCTCCCGCAGCAGAGACACGAAAAAACACCAGCAGTTATGTCCCAGCCAGGTTAACGATAACCGTGGACACGTGAGTGTGTGAATTCTCCAACTTTTTTCCTCTTCTCTTAACATTTCCTGGGCTTGGATACAAATATGTCGACCATCTTTTCCTAATTAATCTTTCCAGTAGTAGACAGTAAATTCAGATCTATCTTAATATAGTTCTACTGAAATGAAGGGAAGGTCTGAAAAACACTTTTGCTCAGATAGCACTTTCTTTCAGCTAGGTACCTTTTGTCCTTAGAACATAGAACATAAAATAACAAGGTTGGAAGAGACCTTGGAAGTCTTACAGTCCAAGCTCCTGCTCGAGCTCCTATACCATTCTGGATAAATGGTTCTCCAATCCCTTCTTGAAAAATACAACTTCTGGAGGCAAGCTATTCTGATTAATGATTTTCTCTGTCAGGAAATTTCTCCTTAGTTCTAGGTTGGATTTCTCTTTAATAATCTTCCACCCAAAGTCTATGGAGATTCTCAGTTATCCAGGTCATAGTTATCCCAAAGATGCTTTTTCATGAGGCAGCTGGACTTGTGAAAAAGCATCTTTGGGATCTTCCACCCATTATTTCTTGTCCTGCCCTTAGGTGCTTTGGAGAATAGGTTGGCCCCCCTCCTCTATGTGACAGCCCCTCAAATATTGAAGACTGCTATCATGTTGCCCTTAGTCCTTCTCTTCACCAGACTAAATATACCTAGTTCTCTCAACTATTCATCGTATGAGTCAGTCTTTAGACCCTTTATCGTTTTTTTTTTGCTTTTCTCTGTATTCTTTCTAGGGTTTCAGCATTTTTATTTTTATTTTTTGTATCGTGTTCTTCCATTGCTATCTGACTGGACTTCCAGTTTGGGCTGTTTCTCTCTCCCTCCCTTCTTACCATGGGGAAAAGAGTCCCACATAACATCAGACTATTGAAGGAAACTAATGGATAGCATCTGGGTGGGTTTTTATTATACAGCACCCAGAGTCACATTCATGAGATGGACAACTATATGCTGTAAATTGGATGGGTTTAAGTTTTGGTGTGATTTAGATTTTAGATTTTAAATTTTAGATTTAGATTTAGATTCAGATTTCACTTCCTCCATCTACCAGCCTTGATTTTATCCTATTGGTACCATTTTGAACAAAGCAAGGGAAAACACTCTTTAAGATCAGATATGCCTCTTAGATCAGGGTCTGCAAAAGTACAAGAAATGACCTGTGGATCAACAAATGGATGTTCACAAAAGCTGTGTTCAATTCCAGACCCTGCTCATTCCCTACATCAATTCAGAAACCACTTGACACTCTGGGCGGTTCTAATGTGAATCTTGCAGTCCATTCTGATTCAACCTATCATGAGTAAGTATTTACTGATTAATTACAGAGAATCCTACTGTTGTGTGTCTATTATATAATGAACATGTGTCTATGAAGTAGTACCAAGAGTAAGTACCTTCACATTGCCCCCATATTTTATCTCCCAATCCTTCAAAAGTCCCTGTTTCACTGATCAGTTTCACTCCTTTAATGTGGAACCATTGAAGGAGAATGCTGTGGAGGCCAAACTTGAGCTACTTCTAGTCCTGGAGGGTGAGAATTCTCTCAGATCATAGAAGAAGGGAAGAGAATAAATTGCTCTTACTTCTCCTATCCCATCTGTATTTTTAGTTTACCTTGTGTACATGTACCTGATTATATGGGGGGTGAGGAGGAAGAGAAGAGAAGAAAATGGAACCATTGCTCTGAAGCTTCAATATGAGGGGACAGGTTGAGGCAAAATTTCTCATCAATGGAAAATGATCCACCTACAACAGAGGTAGGCAACCTTGGCTCTTTTATGACTCGTGGACTTCAACTCCAACTCCCAGAATTCCTGAGCCAGCTTGGCTGGCTCAGGAATTCTGGGAGTTGAAGTCCACGAGTCATAAAAGAGCCAAGGTTACCTACCCCTGATCTACAAGTTCTGCAAAGCTGCTGCCTTCCAATGGAAAAGAACAATTTCAATTATTTTGACATAAAAAAAGAAAAAGAAAAAAAAAGACTTAGCTTCCAGGTAGAGCCAGTACTGTGGGACCATGTCCAGAGCAGTTTCTGAACTTCTGCGAAGAGATGAGGCGAAAAAAAAGAATCATTAAATGCAGCTATTTATATAATGCTTCAAAATAGGATTGATGTCAGCATCAATGTCTTCTTCTCTTTGATTTTATGAAAGAGATGTGAAAGTACTGTGTCAGGGTTCTTTTTTGTTTTGTTTTTTTGGTAGTGCTGGTGTCCTTGTTATGGTTTTGATCAGAAGCAAAAATGCTGATTAATTCAGTCTGTGGATAGAAAGTGAGGAAGATGACCTTGACAGAAATACGCAAGAACCATTACTTGGGCAAAAGAGACTGAAACATTATTTTATGTCCAGAACAACTAAGTACCATTCAGAAACCGCTCAGACAGACTGGAATATAAGAAGGAAAATCAGACTTGAAAGACTCATGTCAATGTCAGCTCCTATAGATAGATGAGACCAGGAAATCAACTCCACAGGAAGGCTAAAACTACTTTTATTGAGACTGGCTATAATAATATGTCATTCTGAAGTCAAAGATGTTTCTGTCCCTTTTGTCTAACTGGTAGTCCCTGCTTATTTCTGTAAGGTCATCTTCTTTACTCTCTACCCATAGACCGAATTAATCAGAGGTTTTTTTTTTTTGGCTTCTGATCAAAACCATACCAAGGATACACTACCCAAAAAGGAATCTAACACTTTCATCCCAAGTCTCCTTTCATAAAATCAAAGAAAAGAGACCTTGATGCTGACGTCAAAGAGAAGACCTCGATGCTCTCTGCTTTGTAAAAAATATTCCTATTTCAGACTTGTACTTAGGAAAGACACCGGTGCATTATTTTGGAACTCTGCTTGATTTAAGTGGAAGGAGAGAACTTCAAAGGAAATAATGTTATGAGGAAAGATTAACCACTTTCTCCTGTGCTAGTTTTGCATCTTGTGGCATTATGCAAGTTACAAAATGGTGCCTATTAGCTGAAAAATGTTGTGTTAGGTCAAACCCACTGGTTAAACCATGGTTAAATTCCTCACTTAGAGTGGTATGTGAACTCAGACTCTTTCTCCCAACCAAACCTTTCTCAAAAGGCTGGTGAAGGGAAAAGAACCCATCTAGACCAGATTTCTCAACCTCAGCAACTTTAAATATGGGGACCAACTCCCAAGTTTTCCATCCAGAATGCTGAGTTGAGAAACCCTGATCTACACTCTCCTTGAAGGCCAGTTGAAGCAAGAGCAAAGTAAAAATGCAATCAGTATAGGTAATCCTTGACTTACAATCCTAATTGAGCCCAAAATTTTGGCCCTGTGTTGTTACAGTTATAAAGCAAGTTACCATGTGACCAGACCTGATTTTATAACTTTTGTTCCGGAAATCATTAAGCCAACCTGACAGTCATTAAGCAAACACCATGGTTGTTAAGCAAGCTCATTGTTCGCTATGAGGCAGGTTTTTTTGCCGAAACTGGAAATAAATGGTGTTTTTTCATAAAAATGTCATAAATCACAGTCACATGACCGTGGGCACTGCAAATGGCTGTAATGAAGGCTAATTGCCAAGCACCCAAAATCTAGTCATGTGATCGCTGGGAGGGGCAGATTTTGGAACTTCAAAACTGAGTCATAAGTAACTTTTGAGGGGGGATTTTGTTGTTACATCAACTGGTTGTAAGTCAACGATTTCCTGTAGGTAAAAAGAAACCAGTGTAGATTTGTTGTATGCTTATTTCAACACTGATAGAATCTTGAGATTATTCTATCCAGTGTTTGACATAGCCTTCTCTGTGTTTGCTGCAGCCCGCCAGTCATCGTTCCATCACCCATTGGGACATCTGTAGCCAGCAACACAACATACGGAAGCTCACAGTTGCCATTGTAAGGATCCTTGCCTGAGCAGGTCCCTTTCTGTTTTGTTTGTCTGAGAAAGAATAGCAAGGAGGACCCTGACTGAATGTTGTTATACAAGCAGTCCTCACTTAACTATCACAACTTGGACCAGCAACTCAATTGCCAAGCAACATGTTCATTAAGTGAAACTTCATGTGTCCCCCACCAGACTTATGACATCAATTTCATTGTAGTTACTAAGTGAAACACTCCGCTTGCTAATAAGAGATCACGTAACCGAGGCTTGCATTTTATGGCCGGCTTTTCCATTGACTTTGGAATCCAGCTGTGAAGCTTACAGATGGCGAGATCCTGTAACCTTGGAATGCTGCCATGGTTGTGTGTGTGTTGACTGCAAAGCACCAGAATGGCAGTCGTGTAACCATAGAAAACTGCAATAGTCAATATGTTTTTGAGGGCCAATCATAAAGTTACATTTTCAGAGCTGTCATTACTTAACAGTCACTAAACAGCAGTTGTTAACCAAGGACTGTATATACTTGGATCTCACCAAAAACAGAAACACTCCATCCCACACAATTTAGAGACCAGGGCATAATATACAGAAATATTTATTAAAGTGTGCAATATGGAAAAGCAATAAAAATAGCTATTTGCCCAATATTAATATCATACATTGTCCAAGGCTAATTTAAATGTAATTGGATAATTAAAAAGCATATTTATATATTGTCATGTTAATTTAATGCAAATTCGTTTGTTCATTTTGGGACTGCAATATTGGGCAATAAACAAACGAATTCAAACTATCTAGAGAGCAAGAACCACAGTGTCATTTTCCATCTCACAGGGGTAGGCAACCTCGGCTCTTTTATGACTCATGGACTTCAACTCCCAGAATTGGGAGCATAGCTGACTCAGGAATTCTGGGAGTTGAAGTCCATGAATCATAAAAGAGCCGAGGTTGCCTACCCCTGCGACTAGTCAATTGGCTTTGGATCTCCAGTTGATACCAATTAGCAATATCAGGATTTCCTATTCCACTTTTCAGTCTCAAGAGCTGCATGGTGACCACCCTTTCTTTCTTCTCATAGTGAATTAATGACTTGCTCATACCCTTTGGGCAATGCTTCCCCTCTTGGTTCAGTGGATTCATACACCATGTGCCAGGATGTAGAGATGCCAGACCTCTCTATACCCACTGAGAACACCGTAACATATCCAGGGAATCTTCCGCTCCATTTGATGGCAGATTCATTAAGGTGAGTGCAGATCGTGTCTTGCAGGTAGAAAAGAAGATAAAGGCAGAGACGTTTCTCATGATGGGGCTTTGCAATATTACTTTTTCCTCCTGTGGTTTTTCTCTGAAGGCGTGCTTCCTTCAGAATCCCCAGAAATGATGGAATAGGGAACCTTTTATAAGATTATTTCAAACAATGGATGACAGGGTGAGGTGCTTTTTAGATGATTGAAATGCTAAGCAGACTTCAAACTAGTTTTAACGATTGAAGCCCTCAGTTTCTGATGTGTAGACAGCAAGGAACGTGTTTGCTGATATCAGTTATTGAAAGTGAAGTAGACATTGAATGGCAGGTAAAACAGAGCAGTGCAATATAGAAAGTGCAGTTGAGAATAATAATTGTGGACTGGAAGCCAAGGAAGTTGGGAAATGGAACGGCTGCAATGGGGAGCTTAGCTGGATTCAAACTTGCAAGTACTTGGCCAGAAGCCAAGAAATTGGGGAGGGAAAATATAATGGGATGATGGCATGGTCTTGCCTGTCGGTTGTGAGGTGCTTCATGAGAACTAATTCCTCAAATCCACTCACTGCCTGTTTTTTTCCCCAGTGTGCCTGAGACCATCTCCCCACCTTCCAGTGAAGAGTTTGAAAAGCTTCTGCATCCAGACCAAGACCTGCATCCAGATCTTCACTTTTGCCATAATCCAGTGTGACCCATTTTTATGTGCTTGTCATCTTTCGAATACCTTGGAGATACTTTAATGGACCTTTTATGTACTTCTTCCTATCAAGCCTGGACATAAACAGTGATGGCTAGTAACCCAGAAGATTTACTGTGTACAGAAAACCACTCCTGGGCCCATCTGCATTATCGACTTCATCCTGTTAGATCTTTGCAAGCTCTTTTGAACCAAGACCAGCTTCGGTTGTGTGCTAAGTAAGGGACATGCCATGATATAGCTCTGCCTACAATTGTGAGCGAAGCCAATGGAGCCAGAGAGGGTCTGCCACTCACTCACATCTTCTTTGCTGTGAGCAATTTTCTGGGGGAAGGGGACAGGCACGATGCACTAGCACCTCTGTGTGTTTTACTACTTACCTGTGTTGCCTCTGGATTGCAAGGAAGAGTTGGTTTTCCAATTATAGTACATTTGATTGACTTTTATCAATACCAGCAGCCAAGACAGAAAATATTTCATCAGGAACTTTAGAAGAAAAATTCTTTGTTCAATTAATGTAGGTAAAGTCTTGGTTGGGCTGCTGATTCTTTCATGAATTTGGAGGGGACAGTTGAGCATAGGAAAAGATTCCAATGGAGTCTTATTTTTCATTTCTCCATTGGAAGAGGAGACATTGTATTTCCTCCCAGAATTTAACATTCCACAGAGCACCCCTCCATACCATACAGAATTATTAGGCAGGGTGAGGTGACTATCTCAGGCCAAAACAACAGCAATGGTGGGGAGGTGTTGAATGTCACATGGTCTGTCTTGCTAATTTCCAAACTAACCTGCCTTATAGTGGTGAATGCGATCTCACCAAGTTTTTGTCCATAATTGTTGGGGAGGTGGGATTCAATTTTCACACAAACAGCTGCAAAATATTTTGGACTAGCTTCACCAGCTGGCAGTTCCTCTAGAATAGGTGGAGCTTAGATTTTCCTGTTCCAGAGTGAATTTTGGGCTATTGAGATACGGACTGCAACACTTGTGCCATTTTTCCTGGGTGGGATATTGTAAAATAAAAAAGCCCATCCTTTGATACTAGATTTCCTGTTGTACAGACTCTATTCTCATTTGCCAAAATCCTGCTAAAAGGTGCAATTTAAAATAACCCATAAAATAAAGACTTTATTCCAAAGTAACAAAATAAATAATCTACTGTACACGTTACAAAGGAAAGGGTGCTAGTTTTCCTATAAAGACAGAAAGGCTGTAGGGTAGGAAATGGGGACTTGATTTAGTAGCAGTTGAGTATTATTTTTAACTCAGTAGGAGTTCAAAGTGTGTTTTGCGAGTCAGTTTGTTCCAGCAAATGTTGCTTTCAGACTGCTTTGAAGATTAATATTGTTCCGTCTTTGTCTCATACTGTGGTTATGCTGTAATTATGAGTAAAGTAGAATGGAGGGATGATATTTTCCTCAGGGAAGGTACAATGCTTGGAGGGGAAGCTGATCCTTTCCTGCCCCAGAGACAAAGGTGCAATCCCTTCCTTCCTTCCGGTTTTCTCAATTTCAACAAGACCCTTATTCCTCATTCACCTCTTTTGGCAGAAAGCGGACTGTACCGTTGAGAAAGCCTCGTTAGGAAATGCTCTCCTATTCCCTAAAATAACAGAAGAGTTGTAAAATTAATGTCCCCTCAGAGCAGCAAATTGAATTCCAACTTGACCCTGTTGCATGTGTGTTTATTAAGGGCATCATATGCAACTTGTTCCGCTCAACAGGTGGTAAACTCCAGCAATCTTCTGATGCCCATTCAAAAATCTCACCGTTGGGATCAACCATGAACCTGAAACTAGCAATTCAACCAGCAGAATTACAAATTTACATTCCTGAAATAATGTAAATGTCCGGGGTTCTCAGCCTGTATAGCTTTTCATTGGCCGATTTTACTTTCTAGGCCAGACATGTCAAACACAAGGCCCGGGGGCCGGATGCAGCCCACAAAGTGGTTTCATGTGGCCCGTGAAGCCATCCTGGAAATAATGAGGGAACGGCCCCCGCTGCCTTGGCCCTGGCCTAGGCCAGCTAGGAGCCAATGTACCATTTTGTGGTGGCCATCTATGCTGAAACGCATTCAGTCTTAGCTCCACAAGGCTGTCTAGAAACAGCGAGGAACCAGCCCCTGCCGTGTTGGCCCCGCCCCCTGGGTGCATGCTGGGGAGGGGTAACCCTTTGTGAGGAATGAAGAAATGGACCATGCCTTGGCACTTGCCCCAGTCCCACTCCCTTCTGCCAGAGACCCTCAGATCTGTCCCACTCCTGCCCAGGCCCCCACAATCACCCTTGCCGCGAAAGATGTAGAGCTGGCCATGTCCACCTAGTAGGCCACACCCACTCCATCCATGCCCACCCAGTAGGCCGCACCCACCCTGGCCATACCCGGCCCCCCGAGGGAAAAAGCAATGCTGATGCGGCCCTCAATGAAATTGAGTTTGACACCCCTGTTCTAGGCAACGCCTTCAAAATGGAAGATCCGTGCAGGATCTTTTATTTTCTGCAAGTAGTTAAGAGATCAGCTCGTCCGCTTCTGGCTATGATGACATCGGTTTCCTCTTTGCTGTTCACTCCTCTTCCTGCTTACAGGAAAGTAAAGGGATCGGGAAGAAAAGTACAGGTGGTCCTTGACATAATGCCATTCGTTTAAGCAACAGTTAAAATGGCACCGAACAAAGTGACTTGCAACCAGTCCTTGAACTTACAACTGTTATAGCATCCCTACAGTCATGTGATCAAAATTCTGGCACTTGGAAATCGGCATATATATATGTATTTGATGGTTGCAGCAAGAGGGGGTGGGGCAGGTTACGTGATCACCATCTGTGACCTCCCCAGCTGTCTTCCAACAAGCAAAGTGAATGGGAGGGGGGAGGAAAGCCGGATTCATTTCACTGCAGTGATTTGCTTAAAACCTCAGCAAAAAAAAAAAATCATAAAATCGGGCCGGACTCCTTTAACTACTACCTTGCTTAACAAGAGGAATTCTGGTCACAATTGTGCTTGTTAAGTTGAGGATTACCTTTATAAATAAGCTCCAAGAATAGGAGTGAGGAGCCTTAAGATAGGAGTAGGGAGCACTGACAGCAAATGGGGGAACGTGACTCTCAGCAAGACACCCCCCCTTTGGTTCGGTCCTTTATAAATTCACCGTGTTCTGGTAAAAAAGGGATAATTCACCTCCCTGTGTCAGTAGTTCTGATACAGTAAAGGTAGTTCATTTAGTGACCGTTCGAAGTTACAAAGGCATCTCCATTGCAGCATCTCCAAGATCAAAATTTGGACCCTTGGAAACTCTTGTATTTACGACGAACTGCAGTGCTTGGGGGGTTCATGGGATCACCACTTTTGAGACCTTCTGACAAGCAAAGTCAATGGGGAAGCCAGGTTTCACTTAACAACTGTGTTTCTAATGTAACAACTGCAGCGATTCACTTAACAGATGTGCCAAGGAAAGTCATAAAATGAGGCAAAATACTTAATAAATTTCTCGCTTGGCAAGAGAAATCTTGGGCTCAATTGTGGTCGTAAGTTGAGGACTACCTGTACACAAAGCTGCTGTTGTGATGCATCTTAGTGTGGAGGAAGCTGTTGCTGGTGTGCCCATATCCAAATGGCACAGTTCAATATTTTAATGGGGTAAGCATCTAGCCCAGGGGTAGGCAACCTTGGCTCTTTTATGACTCGTGGACTTCAACTCCCAGAATTCCTGAGCCAGCATGGCTCAGCTTGGAAACTTTCCCTTTCCCCTCAGCATGGCTGGCTCAGGAATTCTGGGAGTTGGTCCACGAGTCATAAAAGAGCCAAGGTTGCCTACCCCTGTTCTAGCCTCTCTAGAGCCATTAGGAAACAAAATACCTCCAAACAATCCAAACTCAGCTGAACAACAATTAATGCTTTTGATGGTTAACCACAATATAAAGTCAACAGGCAACAGAAGTAATGAGAATATTTTCAATATTGTATACACGATAAAAAAAAAAACAGGAAAATTCTGGGGATGGGCAAAATGTGTGGCATTAAGATGCCCAGTTCTCCTGGTCTGAGACACATCCTTGGGCTTAAAAATGACTTTTGGGACCATATTCCAGTGGAGGGGAGGGGACACAAAAACTGAAATTAATTCAATTTACAAATTTTGTTTAGTTATACAGATAGCATAGTAACCTCCTGTGTCTTTGATACATTTTTTTTTCCTTCTGTCACATGAAGAATTATCCTTTCTATGGCAATTTGCAAAATGGTTTGCAGGGTGTGTGTGTGTGTGTGTGTGTGTTACAAACAGTCCTGGAGAAGCAGGTTCTGCGCATATAGGGAACATCTGTGACAAAGACTGAAGGGCAGCAACAAACATGTTTCACGTGTATGCGTGTGGTTGAGAGGCTGGGGACGATTTGGGAACAAGATGTGTTTATGGCCAATCACTTATATGCCTTTCAATAAAATATGTACAGGATATTTATGTGCTTGTTTATGGCTATGTACCCCTCAGTTTCAAGTCTCATGTGGGAGGAAAGGCTGTGGGTAAGTCTGACCTTCCATTAGTCCATCAGAGGGCCAGAGATTTGGTCTACCTGAGCTCATTCTATCAACTGTAGCCAGGGTACCCCTTTCTTGCTGAGTTAAATTAAGATGGCAGAGCTTCCTACATGATTCGCTGTCCATAGGTCCATGCTCTTCTGTTTGGGAGTCAAAGCATGCTCTCCATTTCATGAAGAGAACAGGGTGAAGAGTTGGTTGTGTTAATATAACAGCTCGCCTTCTGCAAGGAAGTCCCACAGGCCCCACACAGGGTGATACAGAGGATAGCCTCCCTGTCTAAAGCTCAGAGTTGGCTGGAGTATTATTGCTTAATGGCTGAGCAAGGCTGCCTCTGCTGTTCACTGCCGGCTGGTGTCTGGTTCCATCTTAATGCTGTTTCTTCTAGCCTCAGGCTGTGCTGCTGGAGCCTGGCATCTCTCAGAAAGTGTTTCCCCAAACTCTAAAAGAGAGCGAAACATAGAAATTTAAGTTTTCCTCATCCATTTCAAAGCTCAGACAGGCTGTTATAGACCTATAAGTGGCACAAGGAACACAGCAATAGCAATGTGCTTTACAGCCCTCTCTAAGCAGTCTACAGAGTCGGCATATTGCCCCCAACAATCTGGGTCCTCATTTTACCAACCTTGGAAGGATGGAAGGCTGAGTCAACCTTGAGCTGTTGAGGATCGAACTGCTGGAAGTCAGCAGAATTAGCCTGCAGTACTGCATTCTAACCATTGTACCATCACCATTCTTCAATTTTATAGGTTTCCTATTAGAGCACAGAAAGAATCCAACTTTCGTTTTCTGACATTCTCCAATGGCTACTAGATAAGGTTTCTATGGATAGTCTTTGCCTCATCAAAAAATTGACTCCATATACTGATACTTTTAAAAACTAATTATCAAGAAAATTAAAACCACTGAGCAGGGACTTCCCAAATAAAGGACTATTGATGTTGGGGGGTTAACACAGGGAGATCATGGAATGAGTATGACCTCTCTCATTTTTCAGGGTCTAAACGTCCATTTTGGAGGCCAGCAAACAAACTCCAGGTAAATCTGTCTGCTATGTATTTAAAAAATAAAATCAGAATTGTATGTCATAATGGAGATTCCTTTTCTCCCCAGTACTTCCAGGATCTTCTCAGAACATTTTGGGAGAAATCCAGGAACTAACGTTGCTATGGGTCACAATCTTGTTTCTTGGTTTCTGAACCACATGCATTTAGTGCCCCAAAAGTGCCCAGTACCTCACTAAAGCTGACCTTTCCCGAATCATACGCAGTTTGCTTTTCTCCACATTCCAGAACACAACTGTAAGATGAACCCTCTAGTAACCCTTATTTTTGGCAACTTGGTAAATCTTTTTAGAAACAAAAGCTACCCCTCCCCTCCCCTCCCCTAATTTGGCTGCAGTTCCCTAACATCCAGCATACAAGCTTCCAAATCTGTTCCCTGGAAAAAAGTAGTAGTTTTGGCTTTTACTCAGCAGTGACCGTATTTCCCCCAAATGATGCAACAGATCCTCATATAGATGGAGATTGTAGCTCTCCTCATTCTCAATGGTATCATTCACTCCTGCCCGGCTCCCTGACAACATAATTGTGTCAGTATTTTTTTTTTTATTAAAAAGTTTTATACAAGTTTTTAACAATATCCCCCCCTATAATAACCCCCTCCCTCCCTCCCCCCCTCACTTCCCAGAGCTGGTTACAGGGTTACAAATAAACAAGCAAATTCTAAATAGACTTACCCAACTATACAAATAACAAAATCAATAATGTGCTTTAACTCGAATACAAAACAAATTTAAGCAAATAAAAAACAAGCAAAAATAACAATATAAGCAATTCCAAATTAAAAACTAAAAATTATTCATAATCTAAAATACTTTTTAATCCCATATCAACTCTAACCCATATTTACTCTGCATGTAATTTATCCATCTTCTCCACGCTGAGGTATATATTTCTTTTAAACAACCATTCATCCATAATAAACACAAAATTTTCCCTCCAATATAACCCAACGAACAAACTTACATTCGATAAACTTGTCTCTTTGCTTTTTTTCCCCTACCCCTAAGTAAATGTATTAATACCCTCCTACTTAAGAAGTTTCAGCAAACCATTCATCTTAATCACTAAAATTATCACCAACAGAGATCATTAGAATTTAAATTCTTTTACACCTTTACCCATAATATCTCATAATTATTTTTATACACTTTAAATTAAAAATTTATAATATATACTCCCAAATATTTAAACTTTTCTACTAAATCAACACCTTCTATTATTTTTTTTCTTTCATCTACATACTACACAAATCATTCACTAGTCCTTTAAAACATACTAAATCAAACTACCAACTAAACTAACATTTATTGTTCTTTTTCTTTACATCTACATATTACACGAATCATTCACTATTCCTTTAAATTGTGTCAGTATTGATGACCTTCTCCTTGCCATCCCAGCCTTCTGCTGCCCCTCAAATTTCAAATGAAGCATAAAGAGACTTTTCTGCTGTGGCTCCTGACCTTTGGAACATCTTACCCCTGCCCATAATGAGGACTGCTCCCCCCCCCTGATCTTCCTTAAGGGCCTGAATACCTGGCTCTGCCATCAGTGGGAGAGTATCACACTGGAGGTACTTGATGGAGTAAGAAAAAAACTCTGCCTCCCCTCCTGCGCATCCTGCTCCCTCCGTCTTTTAACTGTAATATTACTTTTGATTGTAATTATATTTTATTGCTTTTTAGAAATATTTGCATTCTAGTTGTATAGCTTTTAATGTTGTAAGCCACCTAGAGTAACCTAGTAGCAAGGTGGACAGCAATTATATCTAAATAATAATAAAACGAATTAAAATAAAATAAAACAAACAAATAAAAAACAAATAAAATAATAAAACAAATAAAATAAAAATAAAGTAAAATAAAATAATAAACTAAATTAAATAAAAATTTAATTTAATTTAATTTAATTATAAAATAAAATAGCTACTTACCAGGCATCTGGGGTTTTCCTTGCAAACATGGACTGAGCCTTCCCACTCGCTCATGGGACACCAGCCGGGCCAATCGCAGCCCTTCATCCATCAGTGTCTGCTGCAGGATGTGACGACTCCATAGCCCATGTGGCGGGAGACTCAGCAGTGCATCAGAAGCGGTGTTGGGGGGTGGCGTAAGCCGGGGACAAGACCCAGTAGCTATGGAGAAAAAGAAGCAAGAGGGGAAGGGCATGCCTTTAAGTAAAAGGTATTAAATCAGTAGTATACTGCTCTCAAATAATCTGTCCCGAGCTTCAGATAGCTAGAATAGGCCCAAAGGTAACAGGGAAAAGTTGCGCTGCATGTATTTGACTCTGGAATTATTGAAAAAAATATATACTGAGTTGTACTTAAAGGTGAGAGAGAGAGCAGGAAAGTGTATTGAGATTCCTCAGTTATCTTTCACACTCCATGTGTGCTACCAACTCACTTCCCTGGAGGAAACACAACACCTTTTCCTAGATGGTCTGTTAAGGAGGGGAAGGATGACAGTGAGAACTAGAGGAAGAGATAGATGAACCTTAGAAAATGTGAATTTTCCATAAAGGGTTATCAACTTTACATAGAAAAGTGAAGATTTATTACTTTAATACGGTGTTTTGTAAACTTGGTGACTTTAAAATGTGTGAGCTTCAGCTCCCAGAATTCCCCAGCCAGCATGCTAACTTTTGAAGTTGCCAAATTTGAAAAACATTGCTTTTTATCAGAGAATAAATAAATGACTGTCTACATGAATATAACTGAAGTTCTCCAAAACTATTAAGACATTTAGCTTTTTAAAAATTCAATCACTAATGGTTTACTAATTTTAGACTGCATTTAGAAGAATAGTGCTGATTTAACAGCAGCTGTTGACAATGAAGAGATATGCTGAACAATGTTTTCTATTGTATTCTCTTTTTTCCTATTTCAGCTCTACTCTTATAATGTACAGATAATCCTCAACTTACAACAGTGTATTTAGTGACTGTTTGAAGTTACAACAGCTCTGAAGAAAGTGACATGACCGTTTTTCGCATTTACGCTGTTGCAGCATCCCCGTGGTCACATAATTAAAATTCAGACTCTTGGAAGCTGATTCTTATTTATGACAACAGTTCATTTAGTGACCGTCTAAAATTACAACAGCATTGAAAAATGTGACTTATGACCATTGTTCACACTTAACAACAGCATCCCCACATGATCAAAATTCAGATGCTGGGCAACTGACTCGTATTTACAACGGTTGCAGTGTCCTGGGGTCATGTGATCCCCTTTTGTAACGTTTTGACAAGCAAAGTCAGTGGGGAAGCCAGATTCACTTAACAACCGTGTTACTAACTTAACAACTGCAGTGATTCGCTTAATAATTGTGGCAAGAAAAAAGCCATAAAATGAGGCAAAATTCACTTATCAAAATGTCTCACTTAGCAACAGAAATTTTGGGCTCAATTGTGTTTGTAAGTTGAGGACTACCTGTATAAAGCTCTCTTCCTCAGTCTTCACAAACTAAACCAAAACCACAGACGTGCTAACTGGATTCTGAGAAAATGGAATTGCGTCACTAAAAGTTATGTAAAAAGAAAAAGTCAACATAGTTTACATTGGGGTAAATAAAAAATTATGAAGATAAAATTATAGAATAGAGATATTAAAACACAAAGTAATCCTATAAATAATCCTATAATTTTGCAATGAATAATCTAAACACTATAAATAATTAGGACAGATAACTAACTCTACAACTACTATAAATAAAACTAGAATTTATAAACAACTCTAAGAATGTAAAGCTATGCTAATTTATATTAAGTTAATATTTGCTGAAGTTCTGCTAGGGGTTTGTTTGGATTAAGACCATTATGAGATAACTATTTATAACAAAGAAATAGCAAAATAAAACATGAGTGGTATGTTCGTATTTAAAAGGAGAAGAGGATAAAAGGAGGGTGAAGAGAAAAAAACAAAGAAAAAAAGGAAAACGTACTAAGATAAGGAAATTTAATTAACACACAGCATCACCTCACTTGGAGGAAGCTGATTTGGGTACACTCATCATATTTAAACTATCATACGGTTTGTTTACTTTTGGTTTCCTGAATGTGAAAACCCAGCCATTCTGATTTGTAGACTATGATTCATAGCTTGGCATGCTGTATAAACCTAGCCAACCATGGTTTCCTCCACAAAGCAATGAAATTAATAATACTTTATTAGTTTATGTTATGGTCACACAGCAAACCAGACTGAGTGAAGGGGGTGGGGGGGCAGCGAACTGTCATAATAAAATGTACAAATTGCAACTTCTATTTAACCAGTTTGAAGTTAGGGTTAAAGTAATGCACTGCGGAATACTGCGCATGAGGCTGAGCATGTTCCTTGCTCTTGTAAAGTAGTGCATGAGAGTCACTGTTCCAGAGACCACATGGATTCTGCAAAGAGGAATGACATCACTTTGTGTGAAGCCTACAAAAAACAACGCCTCTTTTGTAATTTCTACTTTACAGCCTAGTTCCATAATTGATACCTACGGAAAACTTCCTTAAGAGCCCAGAGCACTCACCTTGTGGATGTCCATCTAAGCTTTCCCCAGACAAGCTGGCTGTGTCTTCTTCTACGCTGGATCGGTATGGAGGAAGGAAGGGTTCACAGACCAAGGGAAGCTCGTGGCGGCTGTGTTCTGCAACCTATTGGGAGAATTACCAAGAAAAATAAAAGGGAAGCTCAGCTGGCTGCCTGCCGACTGCACTTTCTCTACTAGAGCTGTGAACTTCAAAACTGAAAAATGATCATACCTTTTTTACGACGAGCACTAAAATACGTCATTAAACACACTTGCACACAAAATATAATCTTGGAACAAATCTGAATTGAAAGGCGAGCAATATGCTTGTGTGATTTTGAATCTTGAATTATCAGCCAGCTGGCTTGCCTGGACTCATGTTGTATATGGATTAGTATGACATTTCCTCCTGCACTTACGTATTAAATTCCATTTAATCTGTTTAGTTACAAATGATACAAGAAGGCTGGGGTAAGAATTTGATAAAAATAACATGGAGGCCTTGTTTTGGGAATCTTGGAACTTTAAAAAAAAAAAAAGTTTTGGCCAGAGTTCAGAGGACAAGGAAATGATAGCTTTCATCTCCTTAGCCTGCTTCCTTCTAATCTGCTTGCTCCCTGTCAGTACTACTATGTCATTATTTTTAAATGCGTCCATTAAAGAGGATCCTGAATTGGCAAGAAGTACATTCTGTTTCCCAAACCCTAATCCACTCTCCCCCCTCTACAAATTGCTACAGAGCATGCTTGCAAATTTCATGTAGAAATTGATAGATATTATGCCTGCCTCATTCAGTAGAACAATGAAGAAATGGAACTGATGTTTCCTATTGTGCATGTGTTAACTAGCAGTGTCTCCACACTAAGGCCAACTCTGGCATTTCACACATTCAATCCATGGCCGAAGTCAGAGCTGGTTGGGAATGGGGCTGGGAGCAATTTTAGATACCTCAACTTTCATAGATCAATGTAATCCTATATGTAATGATCATATAATACACACGGCTTTTTTTCTCATAGAACGCCCAGAATGGAGTTCCGGCACCTTTTTTGGATGGAACCTTGTAGGATAGGCAAGGCGGGTTGTATGACATGTGTGAGTTCCGGCACTTTTTTTTTTTTTTAGAAAAAAAGCACTGATAATACATGTAATCACAATGTACCGTAAATGCCGGCGTACAAGGCGACCCGGCGTATAAGACGACCCCTGTCTTTATAGCCGGGCCGCATTCCTAGAACGTCGTCTTATACGCTGGAAACTACCAGTATTTCCGGCGTATAAGACGACTCGGCGTATAAGACGACCCCCGCTTGCGGAAGTCGCCTTATATGCCGGCATTTACGGTAATGATGATACAGGATAATTATATATTCACCATCCTTTCAGAAATGTACATGTACACCAATATGTCCAGAAAGATGTGATTACATACTATATATATACAGATATGTCTCTGTTGCCTTATTCTTGAAATTAAAAGTTGCCAGTTAGTAAACCCAGAGAATTCTCCTAGTTTTTCAAGGACTTGTAGGCCAAAGAAAGATGCTGTCACACTGGTAGAGCACACAAAGCTTGACTGTTGAGAAATCTGGACTCACACCTTTACCATATTCTTTATCTAAGTTTAATAACAATTTTAACAACATTAGCCTGGTGTTATCTGGACTCAGCAGAGAAGGGTAATTTTAAATTAATCCTAATCTCCAGCTTTTGGGTAGAGAGATGAGAGGTAAGGGCGGTTGTAGAATTGAATTGTTCTGGTTGCAGCATTTTTTCTCTTTTGCCCATCCCTTAGGCATATTGCAAGTGTGAGAACTGGAGACACAAACAAAAACATGTGGTCAGCCAATCAGGCAAAATGGGTGGCCTCTCTCCCCACAAAAAAACCAGAATTGTCCTCCTCTGCTAGGTCTTCTGAAGTCAGACCAATAGGTAAGTGCCAAACTAGCCTTGGCATGCAGTATGAAAATACCAGCAGGTTTTCTTACGCTATCACTCCTCCCTTCCTATTGCTCATCTTCTGATTCTGTTCAATGGAGCAAACAGTTTTCTCATAAATTTGCATAAGGACATGAATTTGCATAAGGACATGAAGATACGGTGGTCAGCAGAGAAGATTTGCATCCTACTTTCCCAATCTGGACTGAAAGATTACAAGGGGGAAAAACCCTCTGCTTCACTGGAAAAAAAAAGATCCAAATGGACCACTGGTTTTCAAATAAAGCATGCATTGTTTCATCATCATATTTTTTACAGTATTTTTCTTTAAAAACTCAAAGCATTTCTCTACCTTTTTTCTCTTGTGCATGCAAATATAGCTTATCTTTTTTCTCTTACCTCTTGCTTGAAGCGCTTAGCTTGTCCACCACAGTTTTCATCTGGACGCAGTCTGAGGACAAAAGTCATAAAGGAGTCAGCATGTCCAACTAAATAATATATCCAGGAAAATCACTCCTAGCCCAATCACAGAAGAATCATTCATGCAACAGTCCATATGTTCTAGAGTAGACTACCCTGGTCCAGGACATGTGCCTGTGCCAATTCAGCATTTACAAACATTTGCAGCCTGGGGTGGGGGGTTGGAATGAATACAATTTAATGGACTGATATAAAGATATAAAGCATTAATAACATCACAGAAGCTAACTATCCTTTGCTAGAGTTATATTAAATAAGGCTTGATACCAGCTGAAATTTACTTTTCCTCAAACACAGCTTGCTAAACAGACCATAATGAATCAATCTACGTATTAAGCTTAATGGCTAAGTCTGTTGCACTAAGTTACATTTTTGTTCTTTGTGGTCTGTTTGATTAGGCCTAATGGGAGGGGCTCACTCATCATACTTCACATGGTTCACAAGTTGTGATGGCTGAATACACAAATGAAAGAATATCAAAAACCAATACAGATAGTTCTCGACTTACGACCACAAGTGAGCCCAACATTTCAGTTGCTAAGCAAGACGGTTGTTAAGTGAATTTAACCCTATTGTCTTGCAACAGCTGTTACTTGAATCACTGCAGTTGTTAAGTTAGTAACACGGTTGTTAAGTGAATCTGGCTTCCCCATTGACTTTGATTGTCAGAAGGTTGTGCAAAAGGGGATCATATGATCCCGAGACACTGCAACCATCATAAATATGAGTCAGCTGCCAAGCGTCATATGAGTCAGCTGCCAAGCGTCTGAATTTTGATCACGTGACAGTAGGGATGCTGCAATCGTCATAAGTGTGAAAAATGGTTATAAGTCACTTTTTTCAGTGCCATCGTAACTTCGAACGGTCACTAAAGGACTACTTGTAAATCAAATCATTTTATTATGATGGGTAAAATAGGCCCTTATTTTAAACATAAGAATCTGTGGCCTCATAGGATGAGAATGTGTTTTAGTTAATCTTGGGCTCAGGCTCTCCATCTGTCCTAATATTCATACTTATGAGAAAATCAAATCTTTCTCTATAGAAGCAATTGCAATTTCCCAGGGTTGCTGAAATCAGGATACTGAGATTTATTCTGACCATGTTACTCAAAATGGTGTCTAAGTACAGTAGTGGCCAAAATTGTGGAAACCTTTTGGGAAAAGTGTACAGTAGAAATGCCACCTTTGGTTAAGTTTCCACCAATTTTTCTTCTAATGTCTTTATAACTGTAGCCTTGTTCACTTAATAATACCATTTTACATCGCCTTCTGGGCAACCAGTCAACTGTTTGCACCATTACTTTAATTTTATTACGTTTTACAAGCTCACTAAATGAAAGAACACAAAAAAACCCGACCAACTTGATAGCGATCACATAACACACTGACAAATGTCCTCCTCTCCCCTTCAGTACATGACATCAATAACTGAATCCTACTGTGATCTGATTGGCTCATTGCCAAAACAAGATGACACCTGATTGGCTCTCTAAACACTCATGATCATTGGCTACCATCAGATGAAGGAAAGCTACCTGATATCAACCTAAGCAAGTTGTGCTTCCTTTTTCTGGTTATTTGGTTATAACTTTTCATCGAAAACAGTACAGATAATTGAACAAACTTTGTTGCATTACACTCTTGATTAAATTATCTTTCCATTGATATATAATTTTATGGTACTACTCCAAAAAAAAAAAGTGGCGTTATTAGCCATCAAACCTCAAATATATACTTTTCCAAAAAGGTTTCCACAATTTTGGCCACTACTGTACAATTTTATATGAATGGAGGCAAATATACGTGTCCCAGGATAATATTGCAAGATCCAATCTGGGTCAGTCCTCGGGAAAGTGGCCGAAAGCTCCAAGGAGTAAACCTCTGGTCCCGTTGACCGATCCAGATTGGATCTTACAATTTTACATCCTGATTTGATAAGGGATCACAGTCGGCACAAATCCTAGTTCTCAATTTTTCAGCTGTAAAAGGGAAAGTGATTAGTTCAAAAGTCAAAGCAGAAACTTTTTTTTTACTTTTTAAAACATTAGAATAAACATGAATTACGTGAATTATATAATGGAATTATGCACATGTACATAATTCTAGGCCCCAAATTTTAGCTTTAACATGATGCAATGGTTTCAAAATGGAAAACATTAGTTTTTGAGCTCTTTGTCACACACAAAAGGTTGGGGATGAAAATAATGAAAACTCAAGGCTCATCCAGGATTATTCTTATATTGTTTAATTAGGATTTCCTGTTTTTGTTAAACCAACTTCAAAGACAAAGAAGTAGCAAATTAATAATAAAAGGATTGTTTTCCGAATGCCCGAGGTACTCTTGGGATAATTACCTGTATTCGTTAGCATTAGTGGGCAGATAATTAACACAGGTGGACAAATCGTACTTTAGCTCCAGCTTAGCAGAGATCACTTTGCACCAATATTCGGCATATTTCACATCTAGCATTTATCTTTGATAGCATGTTCCATAATATAGGAATCAAGGTCAGATGGAATACATGCAAAATGCTTTTTTTTTTAATCTGCTTGTTTCTATGGGATATTCCAAAAGGTATTTCAAACCGTTTGAAGGAATTGGGTTTCTTCAAGCAACCTGAAAGGGATAATTGATGAAGATTGTGACTAGAAGCAATAGCAACTTATTCTGCCTACTGAGAACCTTCCCAACAGTTTTACCACAATCATTCAAGAGATTACAGCTCAGTTTGAGAACCTCCCTTTGCTAATGAAACCACAAAGATCTGAGTCTTACCTGGAACCTTTCAGTGAAGATAAGTAGCTGCTCTCCCGAGCCACCTGACGTGACAGCGAGAACAATTCCACACGACGCAACAGCAATGAATTGTCTCGCAGACAGAACTGAGCAGCAGCCTCGTTAATTGTGAGCTGAGAGAAGAGAGGGAACAGAAATGATTCTCTGAGAAAGCAGAGGACCTCAAAGGCCCAAAGCATTTAAAACTGTGATTCTCAAAAGTTTCTGAAAGTAAGGACCAGTAAATAAACAAGCTTCATTTGAGACTGCCCATCCTCTTTATTTTTAAACCTGTTTTAAAATTAAATTTGTATTGAAATGTAATTCATAATTATCTATTTACTATGGCTTGGATTATTTTATGTTCCCAGTTCTTGACACATCTTAACACAAACCAGTCAACCATGTTTTTCAATAGAAATCTTTGGGTACAAAGAAAAAAAGGATGAATAGATCATCAGCCCAATGAGATATCTTATTTTTAGTTATCTATCATATTTTCTATTACATTAATGACACCATATACTATCTTCTACATTTAGTTCATCACCATATGCTATGTGCAATATTAACGTTAATCATAATTTTTGGTAATTCTTTGTACACTTTAGTCCCATGAAGGTTTATAGTTGTACACTATATTTTAGTATATACTGTATTTTAATTTTCCTGGCCAAAGTTTGTATGTATTGACTGCTGTCATAGGAAGAAGCATAATCCACTAATTTTAAATATTATTTATGCTGGCCTTGGGATGAAAAAATATATATTTGAATTTGAACTCTTCCTATTTGCTTTTTTTGTTTGGTATGAGGTGACAGCTCCATTCATTATACTGCATGTGGATTCAGTTGGTAACTGCATTTAGGGCCTGTTCATTATTAGCATTTTGTTGAAGTTAGTATTCACATTCTTACATTTATTATCATTTACAGACTACATGAAGCACTTTTCAACCAAAGATCCATTTTAATGAGAGAGAGACAAAGAGAGAAAGAAGAGGAGGAGGAGGAGGAGGAAGGGAGAGAGAGAGAGAGAGAGAGAGAATGCTATGAAGTACACTGTTAGTTTACTTTTGCCACAATGCTTGGAATAGTTCAACAATGATTTAGAGTAAGGCAGAGTCCATATCCACTAAAATTAACTCTCAATGAATCAATGGATATTCCTATTAATAAGTTAAAAATTGTAGGACTGGAAGGACACATCGTTTGCAGTTACTCTCTAAGGCCCTATTCCTTGGTTCTTCAGCCAAAACTCTTGAGGTTGGTGGTCCCACCACTGTGAAAGTCTTTTTCCATAGAAATTTTTAGATTAATTCTGTATCATTTAAAAACAAAATTACTATCTTAATTGTATAGGCTAACATAGAGGACTGCACCAGTACAGCCTCCTTTGAGTTAAGCTCAGTTCTCAGTGATTACTTCAACTCATCCATATAGTTTTCTTCACACCATCTGGGAATGAGCTGCCTTCTTTCAAGATTTTTTAAAATTTGTTAAACCCACAGTATATCCTGAGGTCCCCCATCCAAGTGACAAACAGACCTGCCCTTGCTTAACTTTCCATTCCAGATGAGGTCAGCCAGATGCTGCCCCCTACTGAGAGTGTACAGTTTATTACCATAGTAGCATTAATATTAGACATTCTTTAGTCTGCTAAACATTGAATACTTTAAGCAAATGACATTCTTGAGTTTTGGTTGACCAGTGTAGCTTCCCATGGCTCACCTCATGAAGGGTGAGCTGTTTGCCCTCACATCGCCGAGTTTCACCCCGGCCATAGATGGCACTGTGACGCCGGATCTCTTCTTCCTTCCGAGGGTCTCCATTGTCCATCTGGAAGATATGCCCTACTGTTTTGGCCAACTTCTTATTCAGCTTCAGGAGGGTCTTCAACTCCACATCTCCACTGCGCGGACAGCTGCGCAGCAGGCGATCCACCCCATCTGACACTGCATGGGCCAGCTCTGGATCGAGATGCTCAGTGGACGATGGGGTCTCGCTGGGTGAGGTTACCCCTCCTTCTTCTTCAGACTCAGGGTTCCCCCACTGCATGGCTGACAAGGGGGACAGCTTCTCTCGTGGCTCGGAGGGACTTTTGGAAGGGGAAGTGGCACTGGTTTTGCCAGGGATCTCTCCTGGACTGGTGTGTCCATTGGTGAGTGATTTCTGGCTCCCGGACTCGGAGATTTTGAAGAGTGGTATGCTGCTCACAGGTATGGAGGGCACCGGCTGGTTGAAGAGACCAGGATTGGTTGCCCACTCCCGCAGAGCCTTCTGGAGTCGCCGGACATGGAGTGGCTTGGTCGCCATGCCAACCAGAGCCATGATCTCCAGGAACTCTTCCTCACCAGCCTCGCACAGTTGCTGCACATCATCGCCGCCCTGCTGGATGAAGGTCTCATAGTAGGAGAGGAGGTTGGCTCGCTGGAGGACGCGGTAGAGCTGCAGTTCGCCCAGGGTGCGGGGCAGCAACAACGCCATTGCCAGTTGCCTGCGGGGGTGACAGAGTGAGACTGTGAAGGCCAAAGTACAGGCAGTCCTCAGCTTACAACCATCTGTTTAGTGACTGTTCGAAGTTACAATGGCACTAAAAAAAAAAAGACTCACAATCTGTTTTCACACTTACGATCTTTTCAGCATCCTGATGGTCACTTCATCAAAATTTGGGCATTTGGCATATATTTATGAGAGTTGTACTGTTCTGGAGTCATGTGATCACCACTTATAACCTTCGCAATCAGTTTCCAACAAACAAAGTCAATGGGCGAAGTGTTTTGCTTAATGACTGCATGATTGACTTAACAACTGCAGCAATTTGCTTAAAAACTGTCATAAAATGGTCATAAAATGGGGCAAAATTCATTTGACAACTGGGATTCAATTATGGTCATAAGTTGAGGACTACCTGTGGTGGCCAAAATGGAAGGAGGGCAGCCCCTCTCTATCTCCATACACAGTACAGGCAGGAGAAGAAAGAAGAAAATACTTGGCATTCCTTTTACACTAGGTTTGCAAGTTTAAATTAGCATGAGCTATCAGTGTCATGAATTAAAGGGCTTTTCTTTTTCTTATTGTCCATGTCCCCATTCACATAAGAACAACGGCTTGATGGATGTAAACAGATGGTTTATACTGAAAATTTCCTCCAGTTTCTTTGGATGAACAGACCCAAATTTGGCTGAGGGATCTGATCCAGCCCAGGAGTCTTTTCTAAGGCTCTACAATAAACAGGGGAGGCTTTCTACACAGCCTCTTAAGTGTATTGTAGTTCATATATTCCCTGCTCTGTTAACTCTACATCACTGCCATATTCCTGAGGCAAATAAAGGCCCAGCCTTTTCTTTTCTCTCTCCTTCATGTTGATAACACCACTCACCCCTTGCTTTCTTGGAATAAAGTCCCACTGTGCTCAGTGGGGAGTATTTCTTATTAAGTGTATTTTCAGACTGCTGCTGAAAACTTCAATTACTCCTTAGGATCCTGCTTTCTTGATTGCTGCTTTTTTTTTTTTTTTTTTTTTGCTAGCAGGAGAATTTGATCTTGCACTAGAATTCAGTGGGGATGCACACTGTCCATCCATCCCACCCTGCAACCCCAAGCTCTAATACATTAATCTTGCCATCAAAAGAAAGCTCTTGTACTCCATTTTAGTTTTTGCTTCTGCACTGAGGGTTTTATCTTTATTATAAACCTTCAAGTACAGTAAACTACCCTAACCTACAATAACAGCAGCCCATGCATCAAAGTCTTTTTGCCTTTGCACTACCAGCCTGATCAACATTACAATCAAGCTTCTGTCCTTTGAAAACCCAGTGGGACATATTCACCTGCTTAGTACATATGCGTGCTCACACAAAACCTAGCTTTTCTGCACCAACCAGAAACACTCGGCACACACCTCTTGCTGGGCCTAGTAACCAACATGCACACCCATATCTGACTCCTCCAAACGCCCACTGCTTGTTCCTTCTTTATCCACCCCTGTGTGCACACTCTGTCTTCTATTACAAAGCCATTAAGACAGTGAAGCAATGGGCTGGGGTGGAGTTGGCACTCCACGGATACCAACAGAGCTGCCATTATTTTCTCTTCTTGGAAGAGGCTGAAGATAAACAGCGGGTGAGGAAATTTTGAGAATACAAGTGGGAGATATGTGGGTGTGGAAGGGAGGGGGGCTAACGGGGAATGCAATTGTAATGTGGGAAAAACCTTGAGAAACTGGGCAAAGAGACGCTGCCAAGGGAACGGTCAGATAAGAGACAGCATGGCAGTGCAGCTGGATACTGGGTGGGGCAAGAGGCTCACAAGGGATCCTCCCTATTTCTCCAGCTGTAAAGGAGATGGGGAGAAAAGTGTACTTTCCAACATGCAAGATTTTGTCAATTATAACGAAGTCAAATTAACTCATCTGGACAAGATTCTTAACTTGTTAACTTGGTGAGGTCAACAGCAACTGATGGTTGCTGACAGACACTGTTCAGATCAAACTTCACTATCTTCCTATAGTTCTTGCTGGTCTTCTCTAGAGATGCCAACAGGGTAAGTATTAAAAGTATAGGTAGTCTTCAACGTACAACAGTTCATTTAGTGACCGTTTAAAATTACAACACCCCTGAAAAATGTGACCATTGTTCACACTTACGACAGCATCCCCATGTTCCCATGACCAAAATTCAGACACTTAGCAACTGACTAGTATTTATGATGGTTGCAGTGTCCCGGGGTCATGTCATCCCCTTTTGCGAACTTCTGTCAAGCAAAGTCAATGGGGGAAGCCAGATTCACTTAATAACCACATTGCTAATTTAACAAATGCAATGATTCCCTTAACAACTGTGGCAAGAAAAGTCATAAAGTGGGTCAAAACTCACTTAACAAATGTTTCACTTAGCAACATCATTTTGGGGCTCAGTTGTGGTTGTAACTCAAGGACTACCTATAATTATCCAAAAGCCTTAAACATTATACTGCCTGGCTTATCCTCTTATTCATATTATCATTTAAAGCACTGGAGAGAGATTGTAAAATTATAATTCTACGATTACTACCTGTAAAATAGATTTTCTAATCCCAATACCTGATATTTCTGGATAAAGCATTAAAGATTAGGTATTAATCCATTTTAACATCAGTATTTCAAGCCCAGGTTGAAAGCTCAGAGATGAGATTGCTTTTATCCTGGCTTTTTTCTTTCTTTCCAATGTTAACTTAGCTGAGGGAATTAAACTCTTCCCTGCCTCATATTCTTTCTCAGACACCATGCTGGTGTGATTTTTCTGGGTGCACCATGGCAACTCCCAAAATGCCCTCTCTGAAGTACTGAAAGAGATAGGAGTGTTTCTGAGCCTGTGCAGAATCCACCGGGCTCATTGGACTCAAGTCTCCAGAACAGACTGCAAATAAGGTTGCACAGGTGTGGGGGGGCGTGGCTCCCCCCTCCCCCAAAAAAGCAAGTTGAGCCCCTACATCCTTTTGAACGTGTTGGCATTTTCACCAGGGACACCCTTTGCATCCCAGCAACTTCTGGAAGAAGCCTTACGTCGAAGAGCTGCGAGGTTGGTAGCCGATTCCTCTACGCCAGTTCTTGCCTGCCTCGCTTGCCCCCCTCCCCACAACTTGCTTCCGGTCGATCCCCTCATCAATCCACTTCTCCTGCTTCCCCCTCCCCCTCTCTTTCCCTCTTCTCGCACCCCCCTCCCCGTGGCAATCTTACCGCGCCAGTGGATTTCTTCGCAGCCTCACCGATGTGCCCGTCAAGCATGGACCCAAGGCCTCCGAAGCCTGGCTGGTGGCCGCCCCTTCTGCTGGCTCTCTGCGGAAGGGCAGACCTAGAAGGAGCGGAGCTCCCAACGCAGCACCCTTGTCCAGCTTCGATGGTCTTCTGCGTCCCTCCGTCGGAGCTTCTCTGTCCGCCCCCCCTCCTCCTCCGCTCCCTTCCCTCTGCGCGCCTTTGCGCTGAGCCTTTGGCACGGAATTGCCTCCCACGCCGCCGGATTCACAATGGAACGGCGGCGGCAGCGGCTCTGAGCTGCTGCCGCGCGTGGGAGGTTTCGGGGGCGGCAGGCAGCTTCTGCCTCGGACCAGAAAAACTGCAACAGCAGCTTCAAACCGCCTTCGCCACCGCAAGCGCCGGGGGAGGGGGAGGTACAGCATTTACCGCCCACCTTCCCTCCTCGCGGCTTCCAAGATGCGATGGCCGGAAAGAGTAGGCTTCCCCACCACCGCCCCGCTTGATTGCCCCAACTTCTTCCACTTGTCTTCAGCGCGGGCGTTCGTGCGCCTCGGAAGGAGAAGAAGATCGAGTTGATGGTCCAGGCGCGGACATCATCAGCCTGTCTCTTTTTTTCTCTCTCTTCTTTTGCGACGTTTTGCAAGCCTGAGCTTTGTGTGATATACGCCCCGTCTCGGTGAAATAAACTTTCGTGTATTTCAAATCAGTGGGTTTCCTGCCGGAGCGTATATGCCTGTCGCCGCTTTTCCCGCCTCTGTTAGGTTCATCATGTGTGCGCAATAATGCTTTCGTGAGCGCGCTGGTTCGCTCACTTGGACATTCGGATGTACACGGAAAAGTTCGGTGTGGGTTTTGTTTTGTTTTTTATACACTAAATGTTTGTTTACACTGTGGGTAATGTTTACACTGTGCGGAATAAAGTTCCGGGATCGAAGGGAATTGCTGAGAAAATAATACATCCATTCATTGAAGACGTGGGGAGTTTCAAATAGTATGAGGCTCAAATCAGGATACAGGGTTTGATTCGGTATTTCCCAACCTAGGCAACTTACAGACTTCAACTCCCAGAATTCTCAGCAGTGACCAAATATGGCTGAGAAATTCTGGGCATTCAAGTGCATGTATCCGAAAGTTACTCAGACAGGAATTGACCTACCGTACTTTTAAAATAAAGTACTGTAATCGCTTCCTTGAGCTGTTTTGCCCTGAATTCAGTATCCATTTTATTGAAACATGCTAGGAGACCTGCTGCTTTATTTTTGAAAAGCAAAAAGCAGTGCTGTACAAATGTATGGGGAATGGTGAGAACACGTTCATATTTTCCCCCATCTGCAAAAATAGTGGCTGGATAAAAAAGCAAGGCTTGCTTTTTTTTTCCAGTAACAGAAGAAGTATACCCCATGTGAATTCTGATCTTTGTTTCATTAATAGTACACAGTTACTTTGGTGGAGAAAGGCTGCTTATAATTTCTAAATATCAGAAAAGGGATTTCTTGATAACAATAGAATCATGTCTGATTATTGATTATGGTAGCTGCCATATTGAAAACAATAAAGCTACTTTATACCAGTTTGTGTTGTTTGTTTGTTTGTTTGTTTTAGTGTCTTCAAGTCAAGTTAAGTCCTGAAGACTGCCTGCACAAGTCCCTGCAGTTTTCCTTGGAAGATTTCTTAGAAGCGCTTTGCCACTGTCTGCTTAGGAAGGGCTGAGAGAGAGCAATTGACCAAGATACCAAGCTGGCATCCTGCACCATCTCCTGGTTTCTAGCTGGGTGCCTTAACCACTACACCAAATTTAGCCATATAATTCTCCAGGGCTGGCAGCTGTTCAAGATCTCAGAATGGATGGATCTTTCTTATCACCTATTTCCAGTGGTGGGATTCAGCCAGTTCGCACCACTTCGGCAGAACGGGTAGCTAATTTTTTGTTGCTCAGGCCCAGAATGGACTTCCAGAAGCGGCATCCACACAGAGAACCGGTTGTTCACATATTTGAATCCCACCACTGCCTATTTCCTTCTTTTATCTTTAAATGGCAAAATTGACATGTGATTGGAATTTGATGAAGTGGGGGCTGGCCCTAGTTTTAGAGAGAATGATTGTCTCTGATAGTGCATAACTACAAATTGTTCTTCAATATTATCGTATTGCTATAGACAAGGAGAAATGGTACTTGTGGAATTTTATACATCATTTTCCAGTGTTTTTGGGTACCATGTACTGTGTATTTTCTAGTTGTGAATTGCAATTACATTGTTTCCCAACTGCAATACCAATAATGTCAAATTACCTACTAAAACCTTTTGAGACACTCTGGCTTGCTGCCAGTCCAACTGGATGTTTTTTTTAAAAAATCATAATTGTTTTAGAGCTTGTCAATTTTGTGAAACAGAAAACAAATATATTGGTTCATCTCAGATATATCTTGAAAATCAATATAGAAATGCTTTTATAAGTTAAAAAAATATGCACATTCCTTCTCACTCCATACTCTCAAAAACCCAACCATGATTTTTCATTGCCCATCCATCTAATGCTAAAGAAGTCTCAATTCCTTACAATCCTAAATTTCTATTTTCCTTTCTAGCTGGGATTAGTTTGTGGGTTTATTTTTGGATCGTCTTTGTGATACAGGAAACATCGCTGTGGGGTTTGCAGTTACGGAAGTTCCATTCCTTTCTCTACCACCCACACACTGTGCCTCCCCCCACCCACGCATACACACTTCTGCTCCTTCTGATAGAAGTGTCCAATCTGTTGCAGGTCTCTTGGCTCCTCAGCAACAGTGCCATTCTGCATGCAAAGGAAGATGTGGGCAGAGAGCTTGCTCTGCGGAGGTGGGGACCTCTGACCAACTTTAGCTGCTGAGAAAAGATTTCTATTCAGAGATGCCTGAGCATAGAATTTCACTAAGTGGCCTCTCACAGGGCTTGTGACTGCATTTTTTCAAAGGTGTGTGTGTGGGGGAGGGGGATTCCAAGCCCTGAAGCCCTCCATGACCAACCTCAGGCTCAGGGCTTTTGAGTTTGACATCCCTTAAATTGTGCTTAAATCCCAATTGTCTCCAACACTCACATTCAACAGGACACATTAGGGACCAGCAATAAAGGGAAAATGCTGGCTGTAGGGTAAGATTTCAGCCCCTTCCTTTACAGCCTTTTATGTGCATGGCTGGAATTAAAGTCTCTATATTACTGAAATTTGTATTTGTTTGTAATCTTCAACTGGGCAAAATGATACTTCATAGGGCAACACTTTTTGAATCAATGTACTTCAAGTGGGCTAATTTTCAAAATGCATCCAAAATCTGGGACTTGCGACTCCAACAGAATTGAAATTTGGCAATTCATGGCTTCATGCTTTGGTGCTGCTGCACTGCTGCAGTCAGCTAGAATCATGTGATTGTTATTTCTAATGATCCCTGACAGCTTCCCACAAGTCAGTTACAAGCCAACAGGAAGCATAAATTCAATAGAGCTAGCCATTCATGCACTCTTCTCAAACTGTTCTGTGCCTCAAGCACCCTCCCTGATTCTTGCAATCTTAAGCATCCTTTTTGACTCTCACTAAGCAACATGCACCCTCCCTGATCCACATGGCATCTGTTGTTTTATTAAATCAATGGGGAAGCCAGCAGCAAGTCTAAACTCAATGTGACAGGAAGAGGGAGAAAGGGAAGAGACAAGGAGGAAAGGAAGAAACTGGGAGAGACAGAGGGAAGGAAGAAGGAACAGGAAGGAAGGAAGACAGGAAGAAGGAAGGCAGGGGGGTTGGGGGAAGAAAGAAAAAAGGGGGTGAAGAAAGGAAAATTTCCAATGCTCCATCAACTTCCCACAAGAAAACTTAGTGGGGAAACTGATAATAAGTTGGAGGCTTCTCCCACTCCCACTGATTTTTTTGCCCACCCATAATCATTTTGTTTTTCTGTTTAGGTAAGGAAATATCTCTAAAACCATGACTCATCAGAACACTTGTCTAATTTAATAAATAAATAAATAAATCAGCATTGAAAGCAAGTTTGAGTAAACATGCATAAGATTGGAGTGAAAGAATATACATTTCATACAAACCATGGATTGTTTAATCATAGCTTATTAAGCCACAATACTTCAGGTTTGTGCAACATGCTAAATCATACATTATGATTTATAAATCACAAGAGCTAGAATTTCAGCCTAAATCAATAAAATTATATTACCATGTATCCTAATGTAATACACAAGCTACATATACAAGAGTTGGTGCTACCACTAGTGATTAGAGCAGGAGAGATCACTCTGGGGTAAAAACCCAGATTGGCAGCCAGATTACTTTCTTTCCCTATTCCATGGCGTTTTACTTTGTAACTGGGCACACGACCAAGGAGCATTGGCAGTAGTGTGTTCCCATTTCCAGCAGGGCTATTTCCTCAAAAACAAGGTGCGGTGCTAGGAATGTTAGTAAGAGGAAGGCTTATAAATCAATTCACACTCGGCAAGTGAATTCTTGTAGAATATAACTATTCTGCAAGAAAAATTTACAACTACTGCACAGTATAGTTTCTCATCCAGCCGACCAGGGTCCTTCTTTCAGTTTTCTGAGACAAGATTCGAAAGAGGTGGAAGGAGGCGTGACCCGAGTTAAAAAAAAAAAAAAATCTTCCTTCGGAGAAGTACTTGGGGATATGGTACTGCAGAAACACTGCAAATATCTTCATAATCTCCACTCCAGGGGGTGAACCTTCCCTCCTTTTTTAAAGGCGAGCAAAGTTACCTTTCAAAATAAATACATAAATAAAAATAAAATAAACCCAGGAAAAGCAATCTAGAAGCAAAAAGCCCTTCGCCTTCGTTTACCCCACCCACATCCCTCCCGATGCGCCACCCCCTCTCCGATAGTCCGGCTTGCCTCCACGTGTTGGCCTCCCCCGCGCTGGACTGACGCACATCCTGCCGCCCACGCGGGCAGCGGCGCGCGACGCGCGACGCTCGCGGGGCTTGCTTGGAAGGCGCGCGCGCGCCCACGCCCGGCCTCTTGCTGTCCCTCCAGCATTAAAAAATTATCCGGCACAAAATAGAATGGATTTTTCTTCCTCCCCCTCTTCTTTCCGTCCCCGCCCGCCCTCGAGAAATAGCCCTTACTCGGGAAAAGAATAAAGCCAGGAAGCTGAAATGCATTTAAAGCTTAAGCCCTTTTGCCGCGCTTTGACGGCTTCCTTGCTCCCCCATTCCAGGATTTTACAGCGGGTTGCCACAAAAGAATGAACCCTTCACCTTTCCCAATCCGGCGCCCTCCAAATGTATTCTACTACAGGTAGTCCTCGACATACGACCACAACTGAGCCCAACGTTTTTATTGCTGAGTGAAAAAATTATTTTTGCCCCATTTTACTACCTTTTGTGCCACAGTTGTTAAGTGAATTGCTGCACTTGTTAAGCTAGTAACACAGTTAAGGGAATCTGCTTTCCCCCCCACTGACTTTGCTTGTAAGAGGGTTGCAAAAGAGGATCACATGACACTGCAACCGTCATAAATATGAGTCAGTCGCCAAGCATCTGAATTTTGATCACATGACTATGGGGATACTGCAACAGTGGTCAGGGTGAAAAATGGTTATAAGTCACTTTTTTCAGTGCTGTTGTAACTTTGAACCATCCCCAAATGAACTGTTGTAATTGAGAATTACCTGTACAACTCTGAAGGTACAGCATCCCAAACATGAGGCCCAGCCAGAATGGCTAGAAATGACTGCAATCATAGTCAAATGCATCTTGGAAGACTCCATCCACTGAGAAAAGCTGCTTATCTTCTCCCTGAAGATTCGTCATTAGGAACTTAGTTTTTAAGAATAGGGCCAGAGGATATAAGCAGGCATGTTCTGTGCTGTTCACCTACACAGTATCTGTTTACAACAGTACTGTGATGGATTTTCGAACTATTCTCCATTGTATAGAGAAGCAGTACTTGGTAGAGTCCAAGTTGGCTTTGGGGCATTTGTGGTGGTGGGGGGAGAGGATTGCTTACTTGTTTTGTAGGAGATGACATAATACAGATTAATGAACTATTACCAATGGTATAGCTAATTTCCTATTTATTTATTTAGCATTTTATGGGTGACTTTAGTTTTATAGTTAAGGATGTAGTGGCTGAGTACAGAAAGGAGTGATAGGGAATATGGAATATAAAGTTTCTCAAAATAGGATGTCAAATGCTATAAAATATAATCTCTCATAGTTAAGGTGCTTAAACTACAGGCTTTTGAGTTGTTAACCTAATTTTAATACAGTCAATAATTGTTCTTGATAATGAAGGTATTGAACGGGTAGATAGCTTTTGCCTTTTAGCATTAACTATCAACAGCAAATGAACAAGCTGCCAAGAAATACTGTACACCACATGCTAACATTTGACAGAGTAGCCAGGAAGGTCTT